ATCTTAAGGGGGTAAAAGAACAGAGAGATCTAGGGGTTCAGGTGAATGAATCCTGGATAGGTAGGTAAAGCTTTAAAAAGGACATATAGGATACTAGGCTTTATAAATAGGGGCATAGAGTACAAGAGTCAGGAGGTTATTATTAACCTATATAAAACACTGGTTAGACCTCAGTTAGAATATTGCTCCCAGTTCTGGGCACCACACTATAGGAAGGATGTTAAGGCATTGAAAAGGGTATAGAGGAGATTTACGAGGATGGTACCAGGAATGAGGGACCTTGATTATGAGGAAAGGCTGGAGAGGTGAGGATTATTCTCGTTGGAGCAGAGAAGGTTGAGCAGATGAATAATACTAATCCTTGCATTTGACATAGAGCCTGATCACATCATTGAGATGTCTCAAAGCGCTTCACAGAATCAAATGTGAAGTGTAGTGACTGTGTATTTTGTGGGCGAATCACAGCAGTCAATTTGGCACAGCAGTATCCCACAGTCATAGATTGAGTGACCAAATTATTATGGAAGGATTATTACCCCCGGAAAGCAATCTGCAGATTGACTAACAACCGAGAGCTACTTACTGATAGATAAACAGAGACGTGTGAAGTAAGGAAACGTGCCTAAGGTTTCTCCCGCCCGAGAATCAAATCTGGATTGTCTCGTTTGCGAGGTGAGTGCCTTAACCAATACACTACAGGACTCCACATATACGCTGTCAAGTGCTTTTGGAACATAAGAAATGCTAGATGAAAAAAAAATCAAGTTCCATCCAGTTCACCTTCCACCATCCTGGAGGTTGCAAAATGTCTTGATGTGAAAAGTACTACATCAAATGTAATAATTATTATCATAATGATTACGTCCCTCGATCATAGGATGTGCCAAAATGATCCAACTGTGAGTATCCTGGATTAGATCATCCGGGATTACACCAGGAGTCACCATCGAACTTGGTGTTGATCCAGATCAGTATCAAGAACGTATTAAAACTCCTGTGTATATTATAACCAATAACAGATACAGGAGCGTAGCGAGCAGGGGGTAATGTCGTCAAGGTATAAACCGTTTGCCCTTTGCCCTTGTGGATTATGGGATTATCAACCTTCAATTCAATGGTACACCAGTAAACTCCGGGCTCTTACATTGCTTCACAGTTCTGCTTTAGAACTGCAGACAATTCCCCTGTTGTGTCCTCACATTGTTGCTGTGGTATCACAATGCTCCCCCGCTTGTTCAACGTCACGGAATAACATTTCACAGAAACATAGTAAGTTTCTACACAGGAGGCAACTCAACCCCTTGTGTCCTTGCTAGTCTTTCTTTTAAAAATAAAGTTAATCCCGTTTACCAATTTTTTTGGGGGGTCAGCCAAGGTGTCTAACACACACGGAAACCTATCATTAAGAGTATCGAAACAAAGAGTTCAATGGATCCCACCTACACACGGAAATTCCAGAGATGTTTATTGGAACGGATTATGCCCGTTCTCCCCGGAGGGATGCATCCTGCTTACCTAATTCTGGAAAGTATTAGGCACAGGTTGGCAAAAGCCAAGGCTTGAGGACCCTAGAGTGCAAGTGCTGGAGTCTAACCAGCTAAAACCACATACTTTACCATTGATAGCACTGTCTGGCAAGCTTGCCCACTGCTTGTCCAGTGTTAGGGCTTTGACTTGGAGAGTTAATGGGAGCTGAGTGGGATGATTCCCTGACCCCAACAACTGGTCTGCCCTTCCAGTCCTGCCGATGAGCCAGGCTATAGCATGGCTTTCCATTTAATGAGATTACATATGAGAGTGCGAGCCAGAGGCTGTTATCTAATCTCAGGTTATCTAACCACACACATTCGACAGGATCTGAACCCACAGCTTTATAACTCACTCCCTGCAAGTCAGAATCCCTAATTACACGGCAGGTTACGAAAATAACACGGTTTCTCCCAGGGTAATCCTGTGAAGCACTTTGAGATGTCTCATTGATGTAATAAAACACTACAACACATCCAAAATATACCGAGGTCAACCCCTTAGTCTGGATCAACTAAAATGTCCACAAGCTTGTGATGAGGGGAGGTGGCAGATCGACGCTCTACAACTAGCAGTGCCTTTACTTTTGTGTTAACCATGGGGTGTTCAGACTTGACCCAGAGGGCATCCATGATGGTTGTCAATGTTTTAGAAAGAACTTGTGTTTTTTATGATGCCTTTAACAACAAAAACTTGAATTTACATAGTGCCTCTCAAGCAGGATAGTTCTTTGCAATAATTCCTGTCTAGGTACAATTACAATTACCATTTACACAGCGCCTTTTCATGTGATCAGTTAAAATCATACCAACCAGTCCGCTCACTTCCCTCAGCGAGCACTGGCCTGCTTCTTGTCCCCCGCCCTGCATTCCTCGCCATCGGCAGTCGGGCCTTCACACCTTCTGCCCCCCACCCTCGGGAACTCCATCCTGGGATCCCTCTGTTTCACTCCCTCTCTCATCTCATTCAAGTTCCATCTCAAAACTTTCCTCTTTGATTGTACTTATATTCCTCCTCAACCTGTGTGTCCGGTGCAAAGGGAAACAATTTTTCAACTTTTGCGTTGATCGAGAACCGAGTGGGATCCTCAGAACACCAGCAATAATCAGACACTACTGTGTAACTGTCTCATTGTACAGAATGCCCACTGTCACACCGAGACAATCAATTTCATTTGTACAGGGAAACACCTTTTTTCTTTGGGCAGCCGGGTGTCTAACACATGTGGAAACCCATCACTGTGCACATTATTTAATCATAATTTGGTCACTCAATCCACGACTGTTTGTGGGACACTGCTCTGTGCAATTGGCTGCTGCGTTTCACCCACAAAATTCACAGTCAATTCACTTTACAATGTGTTCTATGAAGTGCTTTGAGAAGTCTCAGTGATGTGTGTTGGGGTAGCTGCTGGAGTCTAACCAGCTAAAACCACATACTGTAGGTTGCCATTGATAGCAGTAAAACATGTATAGGTGTGACTGTTTCCCACACCACAGCAATGCAGAGAAGCCTCCCACTCAGCACCTGGCTGCATATAAACAACGCCAAACTTGCCAGCTTTCAGTGTGATTCATTAACAACCGCAATATTATCCTCGTAAAATAATAATAATAATAATAATTTGGCCACTTCAATCCACGACTGTTTGTGGGACTGTTTGTGGGAACAAACATTGGTAGCAATTCTACCAATTGCTGTGTGCAATTGGCTGCCGCGTTTCGCCCACAAAATACACAGTCAATTCACTTTACAATATAACCTGTGAAGCGCTTTCAGATGTCTCTATGACTTGATAAGGCTCTCCCCAAGCCCAAGTTCTTGCCAACCTGCGCCCAATACTCCCCAGAATGAGGTAAGTTGATTGCTCACTCACTTCATTCCGAGACAGGGCGATTTCCAAGTGTGTAAATTTCAGTCTTAAGCGTGTCAGCCACCTGACATGTATGAATCCCCCCCCAAATCCTGTTTGCCACTACTGCATAAATATAACAAACTGGAGGAGTCCTGTAGCTCAGTGGTTAGAGCGCTCGCTTTGCAAGCGAGAGACCTGGGTTTGATTCCCGGCAGGGTGAAACCTTGGGCAAGTTTCCATACTCTATATGTCTCAAAAAAATAATAAATTGGTCATTTCAATCCATGACTGTTTGTGGGACGCTGCTGTGTGCAATTTGCGGATACAAAAATGATGTGCAATTTACATATTTAAAGTAATATTTCTACTGAATATATATATATATGTGGTGCTCTCTCTCTCTTCCTAAATATCCTTCAAGATTTGCCATTATTCCACAGTGCCTCATTCTGCCCCTATCCCTGCGAACACGGAATCCAATTAACTGATAAAAGAATTAAGTTTGTTGGACGATTTATTGGCTGCTCGTTAAAACACACCTTACCTGCAATCAATCAATCTCACTCTGTGTGTGTGTCGTGTCGTTTTACTGGGAATGTTTTGGAATTTTTTTTAAAAAGACTTTCAGAACTTTTTTTCATATGAATTGTTCCAACTCAAAACATTTTGCTGCCAGTGAAAAGTTCCATCAGTGTTTCTGACTGAGGCACACACAGAGACTGAGACAAACACACACACACAGACTGAGACACACACAGACTGAGACACGCACTGAGACATACACTGAGACTGAGACACACACTGAGACATACACAGAGACTGAGATACACACACACTGAGATTCACACTGAGACATAGACACACACACCCACTGAGACTGAGACACACACTGAGACTGAGACACACACACACACACTGAGACTGAGGCACAAACTGAGACTGAGACACACACTGAGACAGAGACACACACTGAGACAGAGACACACACACACTGAGACAGAGACACACTGAGACAGAGATACACACACACACTGAGACACACACTGAGACTGAGACACACACACACACTGAGACACACACTGAGACTGAGACACACACACACAATGAGACACACTGAGACTGAGACACACACAAAGACACAGAGACACACACTGAGACACACTGAGACTGAGACACAAACACACACTGAGACTGAGACACACACTGAGACTGAGGCACACACTGAGACTGAGACACACACACACACTGAGACACACTGAGACTGAGACACACACACACACACTGAGACTGAGACACACACTGAGACTGAGACACACACTGAGACAGAGACACACACACACACACACTGAGACACACTGAGACTGAGACTCAAACACACACTGAGACTGAGACACACACTGAGACTGAGACACACACACACACTGAGACACACTGAGACTGAGACACAAACACACACTGAGACTGAGACACACACTGAGACAGACACTTGCACACGTCCCCCTGAGCCACAGACTTACACAGTAACAAGTTCACTCTTCAAAGAGAAGCCAAAAAAAACACCTCCTCACTTCAGTTCCGCGATTTAAATGTTTTTAAAAGTGAAAATGTTTTCACTTACCTTTTTTTCGGGGGGAGGGGGTTACAAAACTCCTAACTGGGCAAAGTTTTTTCTCTTCGACCCGCTCGCTCGCTCGCTCGCGATATTGATTGATTGATTGACCGATTGACTGATGATTCCCCGTCTCTCTCGCCTGCGATGGTTCATTAACCGCGATCCCGGAAGGAAAAAAGATTTTAAAGTAACTTTCCTGCTGTTTGTTTGGGCGTGAGAAAGGCGATCCCACTCTGTGCTCTGCTCTGCTGGGAAATAGCAGCCAGGAAGCAGCTCACAGCGCCACTTTGTGGAAAACCAGGACAGGTGAGAGCAGAGCAGCTGACTGTACCTGACCAAGTAATAATAATCATCATCATCATCATAATAATAATCCTTACATTTTTATATCACCATCACTATCATGTCGTTGAGACGTCTCCAAAGCGCTTCACAGAATAGACCGCACGGTGAATTGCACCGCATGTTTGGTGGATGAAACGTGGCAGCCAATTGCGCCCAGCAATTACAGTGTTTTTTAAAGAAAAAGTGAAGGGATCGTTACCCCCGGAAAAGCGATCCGCCCATCGACTCTCAACAAGTTCGTACTTACTGTTAGGTAAGTAAGTAGAGGTGTGTGGCGTAAGGAAACTGCCTAAGGTTTCACCCCGACTGGGAATCAAACCCAGGTCCTCTCGCTTGCGATGCGAGTGCTCTCACCAATATGCTACAGGACTCCGTTATATTAACAAAATAAAATATGCGCTGCTCAAAGTAAATTAAAAATAATTATTGGCCACAAGCACATACAATTCTCGACACCCCAAAGCCTTAAATTAAGTCAGTGTTATAATAGATAAAGGCACTTACGGTTTGAGCCGGGCGCGCTGACCAACTTATTGTTCGATATCCCTCCAAGGTACAACCCATCACCGTGCTTAAGATGATCCCAAACCAACTGAGAGTTCCAAGCATTGCAGCTACACGTGTCTTGAATGTGATTTGTTACAAACACTCAAGATATGATTCGTTATAACTATAAAAAAATTTCTGATAATTGGATTCCCCTCCTGTTTCTCCAAGAGGTCTCGGTGAAGGTTGTATGTAAATACAAATACAAAATTACAATACAAAATTATATTTGTAGAGCGCCTTTCGCGTCAGCAATCAGTGATTTGTTGTCGTCTTTGAATTTTATTAAAAAAAAGTACTTTTTAATTTCGTATATTTTCAGGTCAGCCGGGAGTCTGACCCGTGCGGAAACCCATCACCGTGCTTAAAAGAGTATTCAAACCAAACTGACAATTCCATGCATCTCACCTACCCGTGGAAACTCCAAAGATAGATTGTTGGGATGGAATACGTGCTCTTTCCTTGAGGGACGCATCCTGCGTACCTAATTCCGGAAAGTATTAGGTGCAGGGCTTTCCGCTTGCAGGAGCTGAGTGGGAGGATTCTCTGCCCTCAGTGACTGGTCTGCCCTCCAAGGCCTGCCGATGAGCCATGCTGATGGCTGTGCTGTCATCAGCAGTGCCTCGTGAGCACTGCAGACGCACCTCGCTCAGGGGCTGGACTGGAGACCGCCAGAGTCGGCCACCGATTCGGCCATTGTCAAAAATGTCATCTTGAAGCCAGTTCGGCTCCAAGGAGTTCCCGCTTATCTCCCCACCAAGGAAGATAGTCACTAGTTGGGCATTTGACATCCAACTAGTGTAGATTTGAGCCCTCACTTAGGTGGGCAACAACACAAACAACAGGAAAGGTAAGATTGGTTTAGAAACACAACAGATCTTGATTGTCAACTAATGTATAAATACAGAAAGCCTGGATTTGGGTAATGCTGATTCCCTGGAATTATCTTATAATTCCAGATTTAATACAAGATTCTTATCACATAGAAATGTCTCAAGGTGCTTCATCCAGTATCTGACCATTGTATCTAGCTGCAGATCATCTGTGCCTACCACAGAGGTAAATAATAATGATCTTTGTATTTGATACAGCATATTATTATGTTGTTGAGGTGTCTCAAAGAGCTTTGCAGGATATACAGTAAAATGCAGTGACTGAGTGTATTTTGTGGGCAAATGCAGCAGCCAAATTGTGCACAAAAATGTCCTGCAAACAGCCAAGGACCAATTTGGGTGAAGTGGTAATATCGGCCAGGTTAACAAGTGCTTGTCAAGGGAGCACAGGGCCAGGTATTTGGTATGAACAGACCCTAATCCTGGGGTGCTGTGATCAAGAACTTCAAAAAGGTCAGACTTTTTTTATTTCCTCTCCAAAACCTGAATGTGGACCCAGCAACTCAGGAAATGAGCATTCCCTGCATCAAATGTCAAGCCTCCATCAACCCACTTGGAGGCAACATTTAAGAGTCTCATAAGGTCCATTACTTCTAGAGAGAAGGCACCCGACCTGCCCCCAGGCCTCAGAGAATTCATTCCAATGCAAATGAGATAGATTTATTTATTTATTAGAGAATCATATTTGGGGACACAGTATATGAGTAATTTGAGACATGACATAGAGTAAGTGTCGTGTGCTTAGAAAAAACAGGCAACTTTGGATCTAATGTTCGGGTAGTAATAGTTTGGTCTTATGCAGAGATTATGAGAGCTTCTGTTTTGGCTTTCAGATTCCCGTTAGTTAACCAGTTGTATAACTCAGCCAAGCGTCTGAGTTGTATATTTATATATGGTAAATCTGTGGAACAGGCTTCTCTAGCGAATCGACAGAAGCAGAAGTGTTGAATCATTCAAATCCAAATGAGACGGAAAAAAATGAGAAAGTACAGTACAAAATTACATTTATAAAGTGCCTTTCACATCAGGAGGACGTCCCAAGGCGCTGAAAATAATATTTTGGGATAAAGTATACGAGTAATTTGAGACATGGCACATAGTGATTGTAGTATGCATGGAAGAGCTTTGGATTTAAGATTCCCAAAGCTTTCCGTTCTGTTCTAGACTAGTTCATACAGAATTAATTGCTGTCAACATCTCCATTATTGCAACAGGAAGGTAGAAGGTGAATTAGATGGATCTTGTTCTTTTAACGTCTAGCAATTCCTGTGTTCCCAGAAGCAGTCTGCAACCAGGCATTTGGCGATGAAACCATGTTTAGGGCTGATGTTTCCGTTCTCCTTGCGTCACTTTGTGCAAATAGAAATTTACATTTATGCAGCGGCCTTTCACGTTGGGATGAGATCCCGAGGTACTTCACGGTGCCGGCCTGGCATCTGAGCTGGGGGGGAATGATGGTTAGGGGAAGTGTGACCGAAGGTGAGGTCAAAGAGGAAGGTCTTGAGACAGACCTTGAAAGAGGTAAGGGAGGGAGCGAACCGGAGGGACTCTGGGATAGAGTCCAAACAGTGGGTGGGCAGACAGGCTGAAAGATGAAAAATTATTATTTATTATTAATACTATTATTGCATCTTAATAGGAGGGGGAGGGAATCCAGATTGTGTGAAAGATGGAATAAGAAGCCGTGACTCTCTGGGGCTGCAGATCTGACCACTCGTCTGGAAAAATCTGTTTCATCCCCGCGCACACACTGACAACGCAGCCTGGTCTCTTGAGATGTGTAACTCGTTTTTTTCTGTGTAAAAGTTCAGGTCCTCTCTGAAGCCAAGGTAACCGTTTGATCCCCTCCTCGATAATAACTCGGATTTACGCAGCAACTTTAATGTAAACTTATCGATGCGCTTTACGGAATAGAACTGATTGGAAACAACAGTCAGTCTTGTTAGGCGGTGGATACACGCAGCAGATACTGGTGGCCGAGAGCCATTCGGGACTCTCCGAATCCTAACCCGCGTGAAGCCGTCGATGTTGTGTCAGACCTGGCTGTGTCAGATGATGTTTGTAGCAGCCGGCTCTTCCTCTCCTAACAGGGACGACAATCCAGGTCCAGCACCAGATGGTCAATGTGTGGAGCGTAGGATTTAACGTGCTCGATGTGCACGATCTCCGTCCTCCAGGGCCTCCCGTGCTGCTCCCGCAACAAGTCCCTGACCTGGAAGGCCGCTGCCTGCGCCCAGCCTCGCCACGCAGCCGCCTTACCCCGGGGCTGCATGCTCTCCCCGCTGCGGGGCCCGGCCGGGCTATGGGGGTAGGTGCTGACGTTGTGGTGGATGTGAAGCTTTCCCCCTCGGTCTCCCCTCAGCACCCGGCACGCTGACGGCCACCCCTCCTCCGAACTGGGAACCAGCCCCAGGTTCACACGGTCTGCCAGGCTGCACAAGGGCAGCTGTGAAACAGAGAGAGTCAGACAGGCAGCATGTTACACAGTGACACACTGAGGTAGGGCAATAATAATCCTTGCATTGGATATACATTCTTATCACGTTGTTCAGACGTCTCAAAGCGTTTCACAGAACATACAGAATAAGTGCTCTGGGACACTACCCCGAGTGATGGGTGATATATGTGCAAGTTGTTGTTATAGTGTAAAGTGCAGTGACTGTGTATTTTGTGAGCGAAACGCAGGAGCCAGTTTGAGCAGTAATGTCCCTCAACATTTTATACAGCGCCTCTCGCAGAGGTAAAGCACTTTCCAGAGAGACTTGGGGAGAGTTCGTATAAAATGCAATCCTACAGTGTTAGTGCCTGGAGTGTTTCCAATGTATGTTACGTGTGGAATAAACAACCAAATTGGATGCTCTTCCTGCGCTGGTCTCATCTGTGGAGTCCTGCAGCTCAGTAGTTAGAGCACTCGCCTCGCAAGCGAGAGACCTGGGTTTGATTCCTGGCAGGGCGAAACCTTGGGCAAGTTTCCTTACTCCACACGCCTGATAATAATCCCTCCAGAAAAAAAACAATAATAATTTGGTCACTCAATCCACGACTGTTTGTGGGACACTGCTGTGCACAATTGGCTGCTGCATTTTGCCCACAAATATAATCAATTTACTTTACAGTATATTCTGTGATGCACTTTGAGATGCACTCTAAAAGACATGAAAAGCGCTATATCAAATGCAAGGATTATCATATTATATAACTCATTACAATGCACATGGCGATCTTGTTTTCTCTGGAATATCGGATTATTGCCTCCAGGCATCAAGTGACCAGGGTAATTAGAATCACCTCAGGGACCTGAGATTGACACAGCATCTGAATCTTGTAATTTACAGACAAAGGCATACTATTGACGGAGACAGTGACTTGGGGTTCAGTGCTGGGCCTGTCGTGGGGAAGTATTGATCTGTGAATGTGTCCCTCTGATTTCTCTGGACAGCGCACCCTGAACAAAACCCTAATGTAACTGAATGTGAAACTGCAACAGTTATGAAGCTGTCACAGGATGTCAGGCGCTTGAAGGATTGGGGTGGTCGGGGTTTAGCAGCAAGGGGTGGTTAGGACCCAAGGGCATTTGAAACTTCTGCCCCCACCCTTTGGAACTCGGTCCCACAGTCCCTCTGCCTTGCCCCCTCTCTTGCCTCTTTCAGGTCCCGTCTCAAGACCCTCCTGTTCGACCACGCCTCGCGACGGGAAAGGCGTTGTGTGAATGTAGTTTGTTGTTGTTGAGGCTATTACCTGCCGACTATCTCCCTGGTATATCTCGCAACGTTCTGCCACTTTGTTCAATTCCAGATTCTTCCTCAAGGAAGCGACTGCCCACGGATTCCACTCACAGGCATAGACGAAAGCGGCTCCCGCGTGCACCAGGTACGGCAGCGTAAAATAGCCCAGCCCTGGGGAGAGGGAGGCACAACACCACCATCAGCGTTCGTAATAAGGTGAAGACATCAGAGTTTTGTTGGTCAGCCAGGTGTCTGACACGCGTGGTAACATAAGAACATAAGAAATGCGAGATGAAAAAAAGACGAAGGTCAATCTAGTTCGGCTGCCAAGCACATATGTCCCAAACTACCTCTGTACTATATCACAATGTAATTTCCTAAAAGAAAACTATCTGATCCGTGTTTGAAAGAATCAACACCTCCTACTTCAACCGTCTCCCTCAGGGAGCCTGTTCCACAGGTTTGCTATTCACTCACTGAAATACTGTAGCGTTTCCGTAGATTCGTTACGAGTTTACCCCCATTTCAATCGTAGGTAACCCTGCATCACGTGCTTAAGATTATCCAAACCAGGCTGAGAGTTCCACATTTGTATGGCACCTACAGATGGAATTTTTTACCCACAAAATACAGTCAAATTCATTTTACAGTATATTCTGTGATGCTCTTTGAGATGTCTCGAAGATAAGACGCTATATCAAATGTAAGGATGATTATTAGTGTAATGGAAATTTCCCAGTGTCTGGAATGGAACTCTCTCCCTCGAAGGACACATTATCTAATCATTTGGGGACCCCAGAGTGTGGGTTGGGGTAACTGCTGGAGTTTATGAGCTGAAATTTCACAATTTTCCATTGAGAGCATTGTCATTGAGACCAGGCTTCCCACTGCTCGTCCAGCTAGGGCCACCCACCAGTGCCCTGGAGTATTGCAGACCCGTCTGGCTCAAGAACTGGACTAACAATATTGCCAATTTAGGATTGATTCAGTTCTGACATTCCAGCGCCGGGCACGTCATCTTGGAGCCAGCTCAGCTCCAATAAAATCCCACCCCTCGTCCCTCCTCTTGTGGATCGAGATATAACTGTATTCAGGAAATATTAAATTAGCTCATTGTATCTAGTGATTGTGATACTGAATGCACAGTAAATTGAATTTCCTACCTGAATAAGGCGCTCTATCAAATGCAAGGATTTTTTNATTAGAAAATGACATTTCAATCAAAAACCTTCTCTTCATATCACGAGCCTTATAACCAGGGCAATAGAAACATACAAATGGTCAGCACAGAAGTTCATTCAGCCCAGATCCCTTAATCACTTTATAACTCAGCTGCTTATCCGGTTCCCTTTTGAATGATTCTATTGATCCAGCCTGAATAGCGGCTTGTGGCAATGAATTCCACACAACAAACTTCTAGATAATTAAATACATTCTAACCTCTCCCCTACTTCCCCTTATTATCGATTCAACTAAAATCATTAGTTTTGCCCTATTTACCTTTTCACACCCCTTTAAAATCCCAAACATCTCCGTTACATTGCCTCTCAATCTCTTTGCTCTGGTGGATAAAGATCCAATTTATCCAGCCTCTTCATCTTAATGAATATATATTTTCTGTCTTCAACACTTACTTTCAAATAATGGCGTTATTCAATCCTGTGAAGCACTTTTAGATGTCCCTGGATGTGAAAGGCACTTTTATCAAATGTGAGGATTATTATTATTATTAAAACGTAATATTGATGAACTGGATTTGTAGCTGCGAGAGGCTGGCAGTGGTCTAACACACTCTGATCCCTTGCTTACGTAGCAAACGGAACAACAATAACTTGCATTTACATAGCGTCCCTCACAATGATGGGGTCTTGGAACGCTTCACAATGACAGGGCAGGACATAGCAGGGAAGGGGGTAGGAATAAATCCTCTAAATGTTACCTGCAAACAGATCCACTACCACCTCTCCCGTACAGTCAAACGAACTGATCCGAAGCTTTTCAGTGATATTTCCCGAGGAAAACATGCATTTGGTAACATCAAAGGTATATCTGCAATAGAGAGAGATGTGTTTATATAGAGAGAGGCATGTTACGGTGTGGGGCTCCACCATGCTGTAATTCTCACCTTCAGACCAATGAGTTCCTGAGGCCAGGAGATCCCAAGTCCAATTACCTATGATTGTCTCTGGGTCAAGGCAGGAAACAGATCAGAAATGCTATTGATTGCTATCTGGTGTCCCCTGTTGGTAATTATGGGTGTTGTGTTGGAAACTCTACCAATACAGTCACTACACTTTACAGTGAATCCTGTGAAGGCATTATATCAAATGGAAGGATTATCATTATTATCATTAGTATATTCTTCATGACTGGGCCCCTCCCACTCCCCCAATCAGTTGAGTAGCCTCCTGATTCTCACTGTCCACTCTCATGAGTGAAGAACAGTCACTTGGCTTGGCACTCAGGGGTTGGGGTGACTGATATCTTACCCTGGATTGATTCAACATCTTCAGGGCAGGAGGGAGGAAATTGGAAAAAAAAAACACCATTTATTTTTGTGTGTATGTTGACTTGGAGTAGTAGTAGTGCTCTTGCCTCTGAGTCGCAAGTTTGTGGGTTCAAGCCCCATATCGGGACTTGGAATCACGTAGTCTATGCTGATGCTCTAATGCAATGCTGGAGTTGTGCTGTATTCCAAAATGGCTACTCCAAAATTGAGAGGATACGTTCAGTTACCGCTGCCCTGTCCACCGCTATCCTCACATCACCTCTCGCTCATGACCCACCCCCCACCGATCCCCCCTTATACTCCTTCGACCCGATCTCTTCCTCCTCCCTCACTGCGATTGTTCACAAACTCAAACCCACCACCTGCTCCCTTGATCCCATCCCCACCTCTCTTCTTATCTCCCAGCTCCACCTTCTGGCCCCTCTCCTGTCCAACGTCACCAACCTCTCTCACCCCACCCCCCCTAAAAACATCTGTCATCACACCCATCTTGAAAAAACCTTCCCTGGACACATCCCTCCTCTCCAGCTACTGCCCCATCTCTAACCTCCCATTCCTCTCCAAGGTCCTGGAACGAGTCGTCGAGTCCCAGCTCCGCTCCTTTCTTTCTCGCCATTCCCTCTTTGAACCCCTCCAATCCGGCTTCTGCGCTGCCCACAGCACGGAAACAGCTCCAGTCAAAGTCACTAATGACATTCTGAACACCTGTGATCAGGGCTCCCTCTGCCCCCTTGTCCTCTTCGACCTCTCTGCCGCCTTCGACACTGTCGACCACTCCATCCTCATACACCGCCTCTCCGCTTTACTCAATCTTCGCGGACCTGCCCTTGCCTGGATCGAATCCTATTTCTCTCAGCGTCTCCACTTTGTTGCCTCTAAGGGTTTCTCCTCCAGCCCCCGCACTGTCACATCTGGCGTCCCCCAGGGCTCTGTCCTTGGTCCTCTCCTCTTTAATGTCTACATGCTCCCCCTTGGTGACATCATCCACAGACACGGGGTCAACTTCCATATGTATGTGGATGACACCCAACTCTATCTTTCTGCCTCCACCCTCAACTCCAGGACCACTGCTGTCCTGACAGACTGTCTGTCGGACATCAAGTCCTGGATGAGGGCAAATTTCCTCCACTTGAATATGAACAAGACTGAGGCCCTCCTGATTGGCTCGCGCCAGTGCCTCTGCACCTCAGGTTCTGGCAACATCAACCTCCATGGTTGCACACTACAACTCACCAGTCAGTCAGGAACCTGGGTGTCTTGTTCAACCCTCAACTGTCTTTTCTTTCCCACATTCAAGCCATGACCCGCTCTGCCTTCCCTCACCTCTGTAACATCGCCCGACTCCGTCACTACCTCACCCCTCAGGCCACTGAAACTCTTGTTCACGCCTTCATCACCTCCAGGCTCGACTATGCAAACGCCCTGTTTGTCGGCCTTCCCAACTCCTCCCTCCACAGGCTGCAGATAATCCAGAACTCTGCAGCCTGTGTCCTCTCCCGCAGCAAACTCCGTGACCCCATCTCCTCCATTCTCGCCCGACTCCATTGGCTCCCTATCCTTCCAGTTCAAGATCCTGGTCCTCACCTTCAAAGCCCTCCATAGCCTCACCCCACCCTACCTCTGCGACTTCCTAACCCCCTACCAACCTGCTCGTTCCCTCTGCTCAGCTGGCTCTGGCCTACTCCACGTCCCCCGGCCCAACTGCCCTACCATTGGTGGGAGAGCCTTCAGCCACTCTGCCCCCAACCTCTGGAATTCACTCCACCTCGCCCCCTCCTTAGCCTCCTTCAAGCCCCGCCTCAAAACCCTTTTCGACCATGCCATCGGTCACCCCCCTTCCCCTCCCTTCTCCCCCCCGACCCCAGCTCGGATCTGAAATGCTGTGCACTGTCCAGCACCTTGGGACTTCTTCCTGACGTGAAAAGTGCTATACCAATGTAATCTTGTTGTTGTATTGTCAGAGGTGCCGTCCTGCAGATAAGACATTAAACTGAGGTTCCATCTGCCTGTTCAGGTGGACATTAAAGATCCCAGGATACTATTCGAAAAGAGAAAGGAGTTTCCCCTACTGGCCAACAATCCCCCAAATAAAATTGATCACTCACTCTGTGGCAGTTTGTGGGACATTCACATCAAAAATACACAGTCACTCCACTTTACAGTATATTCTGTGAAGCGCTTTGAGACATCTCGATGACATGATAATGCAAGGAATATTATTATATATACACACGTGCATTTATGGGTATATGTTTGTATAACTAATAATAGCCATTGTATTTGATAAAGCGCTTTTCACGTCTTCAAACATCTCAAAGCGCTTCACAGAATATAATGTAAAGTGAATTGACTGTATATTTGTGGGCGAAACATAGCAGCCAATTGCCTACAGCAGTGTTCCAAACAGTTGTGGATTGAGTGACCAAATTATTATTGTTTTTTTTGAGGGATTATTATCCCCGGAAAAGCGATGCACCAATTGACTAACGACTGGGTTCCTACTTACAGCTGGACAAAGTAGAGTAAGGAAACTTGCCCAATATTTCCCTGCTGGGAATAGAACCCAGGTCTCTCGCTTGCGAGGCAAGTGCTCTAACCACTGAGCTACAGACTCAACTGTATTATATGTGCATATAAACGTGTGTGTGTCTATATATATATGTATATATATTTATACGTGTGTGTATATATATGTGTGTGTGTGTGTATTGGCGCACACACAGGCAAATTTCTCTGTTTGTTCCCACCTGATGCCGTTGTCCACTTGCTGAACCCAGCCGTTGTCCCCCAGTAGCAGCGTGACCGCTGGAGTGCGGAAGTCGTCAGCCGACACTCTCCCCGCTCTTGCCACACGTCTCACGCCCAACGCAGCCGCCACCACTTGCCACACGTTAGGCTCTGGAATAAACAACTCGTCACTGCAGGCCGCGATCCAGGTAGTAACTGAGGAGAAAGTGTTCTCGCGTCTTTCCCCTGCCTTTGTGCTCCTCCCTGGCTCATTCGTTTTCTACCCCCACCCCAGTTTCACTAAGGTCAAGAGCATCAGTGTTGCACCCATCATTCGAGTGAGACGTTAAACAGAGGTCCCATCTGCCTGTTCAGGTGGACGTTAAAGATCTCATGGCGCTATTTGAAAAGAGAAGGGAGTTTCTCCCGGTGTCCTGGCCAATACTATCCCAGACAAATAATAAATTGGGTCACTCACTCCACGGCTGTTTGTGGGACATTGCTGTGTGCAAACTGGCTGCCATGTTTTGCCCACAAAATACACACTCAGTCCACTTATTCTGTGAAGCGCTTTGAGATGCCTCAATGACATTAAAAGGCGCTATATCAAAATGCAAGGATTATTATTACTATTATTATTATCCATGCTTATATGCCTGGATAGTATTGCACTGTCAGCAGCACAGTCCAGTCCCATTGTAAACTCAAATGACACACACACACTTTCCAGTTCTGTGCTCTGAAGCTTACCCATGGTTTTCCAGATCTCTGCCTGGAAACACCGTTCATTCAGGACAGCCATGTCCCCATGTCTCTTCCACACACGAGGCAGGTCGTCTCTCAGCCGCTCAGTCCACGACCCACCGCTGCGCTCCACCAGCGCCTGGACATCCTCCTGCAGCAGGCGATGGGAGGACTTTACTGAGGATTTCTTGGATGGAACCGGGTTCTGAAAGATCCAGTTTGAGGATTTGGGAGTTGTAAATAAAAATAATTCTTGCATTTGATATAGCGCCTATCATGTTGAGAACATTGCAGTCTGGCTCAGTTGGTAGGACGCTCACCTCTGAGTCAAAAGGCTTTGGATTCAATCCTCACTGTGAGCTCATAGTCCAGGCTGACACTCTTACTGCAGTGGTTAGAGGAGTGAGGTGCTGTCCTTCGGAGGAGACATCAAACTACGATCACCTCTCACCATCTGCAGGAGGATGCTTTATCGTTATTATTATTATATCCTGTGAAGCACTTTGAGACGTCTCAATGACATGATAAGACGCTATCTCAAATGCAAGGATTATTATTATTATGAAAGATCCCATGGCACTATTCAAAAAGAGAAAGGAGTTCTCCCAGTGTCCTGGCCAACAGTCCTTCAGATAAAATCGATCATTCACTTCAATTTGTGCTGTGCGCAAATTGGTTGCCGCACTTGCCTATTAATACAGAGTCATTATGCTTCACAATAAGTTTTGTGACGCGCTTTGAAATGTTTTGACATGTCTGTGTATTTATTGTCGAAGAAGCCAGCTAATTTGGTCGTTGACGTCTCAAAGCTCTTCACAGGATATACTGTAAAATGAATTGACTGTCTATTTTCTGGCCAGGTGTCCTACACCAACTATAGAGTGAGTGACCAATTTTTCATTTGGGGGGATTGTTGGCCAGGACACCTTTCTCTTTTCAAATAATGTCATGGGATCCACATGAGCAGGCAGACAAGACCTTGGTTTAACGTCTCATCCAATAAATGGCACCTCTGGCAATGCAGCACACCCCCAGCACTAAATTGAAGTGTCATTTTAGACTATGTGATTCCACCTAAACAGTCCCGACATTGGGGCTTGAACCCACAACTTTTTAACTTATAAGATGAGAGCGTGACCATTGAGTCAAACTGACACTGTAAATATAAGTAACTGGGCGGAATTTTCTACCTTAATTCCTGAGACTTTACATTTACTTCCTTGAGCCACAGTGTCAGGCTGGGAGAGGAAACGGAGCTTGTAAAGTTTGTCACAAAGCACTGGCAATGCCACAGAGCCATCAAGCTGCTTTTGGAGGCGATAGGCTGTGTCCAAAGCTCCATGCTCTTCCAAATATTGTCTGTAACAGAAAATCAAATAGGTCAGGTGGCAGCAGCAGCTTCGGGGGAGGGGGGAAAAGAGATATTCTGCACCTTGACTAGTACAGCATTTATATAAATAATAATCCTTGCGTTTGATACAGCGTTTTATAGTGTTGTCTCAAAGAGCTTCACAGGATATAATAATAATCCTTGCATTTGATATAGTGCTTTTCACGTCTTCTAGACGTCTCAAAGCGCTTTGCAGAATAGACTGTAAAATGAATTGACTGTATATTTGTGGGCGAAACGCGGCGGCCAATTGCACACAGCAGTGTCCCACAAACAGTCGTGGATTGAAATGATAATTTATTATTGTTTTTTTTTGAACGATTATTATCAGGCGTGTGGAGTAAGGAAACTTACCCAAAGTTTTACCCTGCTGGGAATTGAACCCAGGTCTCTCGCTTGCAAAGTGAGTGCTCTTACCACTGAGCTACAGGACTCCACGTATAAGGTACAGGATATGATGTAAAGTGATTTGACTTTGTATTTTGTGGGCAAAACTCAGCAGCCAATTGCGCACAGCAGTGTCCCACAAACTATCATGGATTGAGTGACCAAATTATTATTTTTTTGGAAGGGATAATTACTCCAGGAAACTGGGATAACAACTGACTAACAACTGAGTTTCTACTTATTGCCGGGTAAACAGAGGCGTGTGGAGTCAGGAAACTTGCCTAAGGTTTCGACCTACTCAGTAATCGAATCCTGGTCCTCTCGCTTGCGAGGCGAGTGCTCTAATCAATATGGTATATATTTCTCTATACATGTTGGAGTTGTCAGTTTCTTACCTGTATTGCTGTGCAAACTGAGGCTGAGTCACAATGGCAACAGTTTCAGTCTCCGCCTCCATTCTCTGGTGTGCCAGATAAAACCAATCTCTCTTTTATCTGAAAAACACATTGCAGTATGAATACATTTTAGCTCAACTGCAAGTGTTTATTGACGATAGTCAAACATCATCACTGATTTTCCCTCCCGAGATTCCTGAACCTCATATCCAAACTAGACCAACTATGTACCTAACCCCAGAGGGTTCAACAAACTGGCCAAAGAAAATACAAAAAATAGTCAACTTTGTTGTCACAGCTTTGATTGGGAAACATGCCTCACCCCTCATTGTACCCTGAATATGAATTTGTGGGGAACACTGCAGATAAGATTGGAATTGTCAGTGACACCTCAATCTTCGTACCTCTGAAGTAGAGCTTCAAAAGTTGGGACGTCTCAATTGTGTCATTTAACAATCGCCTACTCCAGTTCAAATGGACTCCACATGTTTGCACAGAATGATTAAAACAGAAAGCAGAAATGAATCAGCACCATTTTCTATGTGTGTTCTGTTACGAGTCTTCGTCACCTGTGCAGGAAACTTATGCTCACTTTAGAATTCCACACCATTGGACCTGTGATTAATTCTATTGAAAGAAATTCGGTAATGTTGCCCGAGAATGTTTTTAAATTGACCGGTGAGATGACAGGACTCCGACTCCCAGCCCGAAGCACAGGTCCTTAAAAAGAACCATTCCCTCACAGTCCAGAGGGTGCGCGTGATACAGTGGGGGGGGAGACACAGTGTGTGTGTGGGGTGAGTATGACAGTGTGTGTGTGTGGGGTGGGGCTGGGAGTGTGACAGTGTGTGGGTGTGTGGGGGGGAGTGTGACAGTGTGTGTGTGTGGTTGTATGACACTGTGTGTGTGTGGGGGGGGGGGAGGAGTGTGACTGTGTGGGGGTGTGTGGGGTGTGTGACACTGTGTGTGTGTGGGGGGAGTGCGTGTGTGTGTGTGACACTGTGTGTGTGGGGGGGGGTGTGTGACACTGTGTGTGTGGGGGTGTGTGTGTGACACTGTGTGTGTGGGGGGAGTGGTGTGACACTGTGTGTGTGGGGGGGGGTGACACTGTGTGTGTGTGGGGGGGTGGTGTGACACTGTGTGTGTGTGTGTGTGTGTGGGGTGACACTGTGTGTGTGTGGGTGACACTGTGTGTGGGGGGGGTGACACTGTGTGTGTGTGGGGGGGGTGGTGTGACACTGTGTGTGTGTGTGTGGGGGGGGGTGACACTGTGTGTGTGTGTGTGGGGGGGGGGGGTGTGACACTGTGTGTGTGACACTGTGTGTGTGTGGGTGTGTGTGGGTGACACTGTGTGTGTGTGGGGGTGTGTGTGACACTGTGTGTGTGTGGGGGGGAGTGTGACACTGTGTGTGTGTGACACTGTGTGTGGGGGTGTGTGTGGGAGTGTGACAGTGTGTGTGTGTGTGGGAGTGTGACAGTGTGTGTGTGTGTGGGGGGGGGGTGGGGGTGACACTGTGTGACAGTGTGTGGGGGGGGATATGATATGACACGACACGAGGGGGGACCGGGCCGTGAGGAGGTGAAGGACTGACGCGGCTCCTTATCGCAAAGTGCAGCTCAGCCTCGGAACCAGACGAGCGGCCGCGGCCTCAGCCCCGCCCCCACCGTCACTTCCGGCCCCCCACCATCACTTCCGATCTCCCTCTCATCACTTCCGGTGCCGCCGTTTTTTTTGTTCCTGGTTTTAAATCCGGTTTCTGTTCATTTTAAACAGAAAGTTTTTTTTTACGAACTACGGTACCGGGGGGTGGGGGGGTGTGGTGTGGGGGGGGGGGGTGTGGGTAGCATTGTCGGCTCTCAGTTAGAATCGTCGTCATTATTACATTATTGTTGTTGTTCCGGAGGCAAACAGGCGGCCCCGGAGGCTTCGGCGGCGGCTTCCGGTGCTGCACCGGAAGAAGCTCCCGGAGTGCGGTCGCTATGGCGAACCTGGTGCGGGACCCCGCCATAGACCGCTCTCTGCGCTCAGTGTTCGGTCAGTACCAGGAGAGGGGAACCTCTCTCTATTCCCCCCACCTCTACCCCTCTCTCTATCCCCCTCTCTCTCTATCCTCCTCTCTCTCTATCCCCCCCTCTCTATCCCCCCTCACTATATTCCCCCTCTCTCTCTATCCCCCCCTCTCTCTCTCTATCCCCCCCCTCTCTCTCTATCCTCCCCTCTCTCTCTATCCTCCCCCCTCTCTATCCCCCCTCTCTCTATCCCCCTCTCTCTATCCCCTCTCTCTCTATCCCCCCTCTCTCTCTATCCCCCTCTCTCTCTATCCCCCTCTCTCTATCCCCCCCCCCTCTCTATCCCCCTCTCTCTCTATCCCCCCTCTCTATCCCCCTCTCTCTCTGTCCCCCCCCTCTCTATCCCCCCTCTCTATCCCCCCCCTCTCTATCCCCCTCTCTCTCTATCCCCCCCTCTCTATCCCCCCCTCTCTATCCCCCTCTCTCTCTATCCCCCCCATCCCCCTCTCTCGCTATCCCCCCCCACGCTATCCCCCCCCCTCACTACCCCCCTATCTATCCCCCTCTCTCTATCCCCCCTCTCTCTCTCTATCCCTTCCCCTCTCTCTCTCTACCTCCCCTCTCTATTCCCCGCCTCTATCCCTCTCTCTCCACCTCCCCTCTCTATTCCCCCGCCCCCCCCCCCCTATCCCTCTCTCTCCCTCCACAGCTGAGGATCGTGCTCCACAGCTGTCAAGCGCTCTGGGTCTCTGCCCTGTGTGAGGGGCACTATGTTGTTGTTGAAGTATTTTGAGACATTCAGTAATATACAGATGGTATTTAAATTATTCTTCGGGGCTTTAAGATTTATTTGGAAAAAAAAGAAGATACAATGGACTGGAATAAGCTAAAAGGATTTGTGGGTTTGAAAATGAATTTTACTGAAATGATTTGCTACCCTTTTCACCTTCCATAAATAGTTTACGTACTTCCCTTTGCTCACAGTTGGGAATATTCCATATGAAGCTACAGAAGAACAGTTAAAAGACATTTTCTCCGAAGTTGGTCCTGTGCTGAGTTTCAGGTAATGATCTCTCTATATACAGCACAATTGGCACAGCTCACACACCACACGCCTCGACTGTATCAACAAAGAGATTTATCTTTTGGGTCTTCTTTGGAGATGGTGTTTATCTGTTGAGACTTTTTGTGCTTTTAACTTCCAACTTGGTTGTACTGCTTGTTCCCCTCATTCTTCATCTCACCATTGATAGTTGAAGATTCAGTCCTTGTTCTCTTGAAGTATTTCCCCAAAATCCTGCCAGTTCAGTTTGTTGTTAAAGGGACTATTCAAAGGGAAAGGTAATTTCTCCTGGTGACCTGGCCAACAATTCATCGGATAGAAATGTCAGCTTGTGGGATACTCCTGTGTCCAAATTGGCTGCCACATTCATCCACAAAACATACTCGGTCTCTCCACTTTACAGTGTGTCCTGTGAAGTGCAGTGCTTTGGAGCATCCTCCTGATGTGAAAGGCGCTATATCAAAAGGATTATTATTATTGTTGGTTCTAGGAGACCCTGACACACTTTAATTATTATTCTTATAATGTAATACATTAAATGGTCGTGATTTTCTTTGTTTATTGCTTTCTTCAGACTTTTTTTGAAAATTAGATGGGTTGTTTCAGGTAATTTCACAGGACATTGACATAGGCCATAGCTCACATTCTTTGCCCTATATAATCTGTGCCATCCCCTGTGGAGGTCTGATCCTGTTTCTGTGTACATCGTATCTGGTAAAGAAAGAAAATATTACTCGAGCATCTGCACTTGTCTACATTAATGTCTTTCTTTGCAGGCTGGTGTATGACAGAGAAACAGGCAAACCCAAAGGATATGGCTTCTGTGAGTACCAGGACCAGGAGACAGCCCTCAGTGCCATGCGCAACCTCAACGGCAGAGAGTTCAATGGCCGAGCGCTCCGGGTGGACAATGCTGCTAGTGAGAAGAATAAGGAGGAACTCAAGAGTGAGTACGGTCAAGCATTTTGCTTACGATATGTTTTTGGAGCCATCCCTGGGCTGAGAAAACTGTACATCTTGAGCTGATTGGAGTGTTGCATTTTTAGCCACTAAGTTGTGGCTATCGAATACCGAGCTCGGACTATCTGGCATAAATCTCCCACATTGAGTAATAAAATGGTTTCATTATTCATGAATACCCTGTGTAGAGAGAGAGAAAAAAAGGACACACAGGACTTTGTGGACACTCTGTACAACTCTCCTTTTTATGGCTGCTTTATGCTGTGTTTAGGTGACAGTGCTGTGGTGTTGATAGTCTGTTTGTGATTCCCGTTGCAGATCTGGGCACTGCAGGGCCAGTCATGGAGTCTCCCTATGGAGATGCCGTCTCTCCTGAAGATGCCCCGGAATCCATCAGTCGCGCTGTGGCCAGCCTCCCCCCGGAGCAAATGTTTGAGCTGATGAAACAAATGAAGGTAGCTTTTTGTTTTTAAAATATTTAATTATCCCTATGCTGTTTGACTCTAAACATTTAACCGGTGATTAGATTCTACCTCCTTTTCTGACACTGAGCCAAGCAGACAGCTCTCGGGTTCACACCTGATCTGCACTGAATTGGTGATTTCAGTCAGACCATCAATCAATGCCACTAAGCTTGTCGGTGTCCCTGGGTCAGGGAGGGGAGAAATGGAGGTACCTCCCTGCTCCTAATTTAGTGGCTATCAGGTGAGCTGTTTGACGGCTTCTGGCAATGCTGGCTCACAAGGAGTGACCTGAGACAGTCCCTGTTGACTGGTTCCTGTTTAGAGTCAGGTACCCCTCTGCTGGAGTGTGTGTGTGTGGGGAGGAATCAAAGGTGTGTCACAATGCTTCAGTGCAAAGTAGCCTGTTGCCATCGAGTTAGTAATGAAGGTCAGTGTGTTTGATTTCCTGTCCGTTTCTGGCTTAACGTTTTTTGTGCAAACGTGTAAAATGCCATCTTCTCCCCTCGCAGCTTTGCATTCAGAACAGTCCTCAAGAGGCTCGGAACATGTTACTGCAGAACCCCCAGCTGGCTTACGCCCTCCTACAGGCCCAGGTGGTGATGAGGATTGTGGACCCTGAGATTGCCATGGTGAGTCCACGGTTTGTGCAGAAAATAGACCCCTGCACTGCAACCTCAGGCTTTGTGGAGTCCTATGGCGTAGTGGTTAGCACACTCGTCTTGCAAACGAGAGGACCTGGGAAAAATGTTAGGCAAGCTTCCTTACTTCACACGCTTGTGTTTACCGAGCAGTAAATAGGAACCAGCTGGTTAGTTGCTTGGCAGATCGCTTTCTGAGGGCAATAATCTATCAAAAGGATAAATGTAGTCATTCAATCCATGACTGTTTGTGGGACACTGCTGTGCACGGTTGGCTGCTGCACTTTGACATACAATTTACAGTGATCTGGAGCCTTTCATGTAAAAGAAAAATCTTAAAGTGCTTTACAGAGTGAAATAGTTAGAAGTGCAGTGAATGTTATGGAAGCAAATAGGCCAGCTAATTTTGAGTCCTGTAGCTCAGTAGTTAGAGCCCTCGCTTTGCAAGCGAGAGACCTGAGTTCAATTCCAGGCAGAGGGCGAAACCTTGGGCAAGTTTCCTTACTCCACACACAGCCTAATAATAATCCCTCCAAAAAAAACAATAATAAATTGGTCATTTTCAATCTACGACTGTTTGTGGGACATTGCTGTGCGCAATTGGCTGCCGCGTTCGCCCACAAATATACAGTCAATTCACTTTACAGTAGATTCTGTGAAGCGCTTTGGGACGTCTAGAAGACATGAAAAGCGCTGTATCAAATGCAAGGATTATTATTATTACTATTATTATTACTCCACGCATTTCTGTTTACCTAGCAGTAAATCGGAACACGGTTGTTAGTCGATTAGCGGATCACTTTTCTGGTAATAATCTGTTTAAAAAGAATAATAATAATTTTGGTCACTTAATCCATGACTATTTGTGGGACACTGCTGTGTGCAATTGGCTGCTGCGTTTCGCCCACAAAACATGCAGTCAATTTACTTTATCGTATATTCTATGAAGCGCTTTGAGAATTCACAAAGACTTGTTAAGGCTATATCAAATACAAGTATTATTATTAATAACGCACATTATATTGGCCGATGAAATTCAGTCCTCACTTGTACAGGAGTTTAGAGGCATCTGGGAGCACAATGTTCATTTACTGTCTTGTCACAAATCTGCATTGCAGAAAGCACAGTCCAAATACAGTGAGTAATAATGACTTTACAAATCGTTTCCAGTGCTTTGGCACCTCCTCCCGACGGGAAAAGGAGCTATTCAAATATAATTTGTCGTTGTCATTGTTAGATCACAGTTTATTATTCAGAGAGTTTTCACAGTGATGGGTTTCAAGTAGCGTTAAAAAATGGCATTAAAAAAAGTCTCCCTTTTCTTTCCAGAAAATGTTGCATCGTCCAGCCAACGTCACGCCGCTGATCTCCTCGAGTCAACCTGTAGCGGGTCCTAACCCCGGGCCAGTTCTGGCTGTCCCTGCAGTCTCCCAGCCACAGCCAATGGTAGGTTCAGTGGGTTCAAACACCCAGGTAAGACATGCTAGATTAATTTCTGCATGCCGTGGGTCATGTGTCTTTGTGTGTTGAGTGCCGAGATTGTGATGATGTAGGTGTTAAATGTTATACAGTGGTTAATCTTGGCTGTTGCTAATCCAAATAATTTGATCTTGAAGTTGATCGAATGTCTGCGATATTCCTGTAGCAGAGGCAGAACTAAACGCCCTTTGTCGTCACAGCAGGTTTACGTTAAGAGCTTGGTCCGGGCTCCAGTAAACTAATGCAGGGTCAAGTTCATTTTCACAAGAATTACAGTGTCAATGCACTGTACGTGAAATGTTAAATACCTGTTTACAGAGTGCTTTCCTCTTTTGGGAAGGGTTTGGGGGGGTTTCGGAGACATTAAGCGAGGTCTCTTATGTGGCTGAGCTCCAAGGTGACCTGCATGGCAGCGGAATATTGTAATTGAGTCAATCCTCTGCAAGTCTTGGTAATCCAGTTTCTGAGTCAAGCAGATTATAGTACTTCAAGACACCATTGATAAAAGACCAGGCAGCTTGGCTCATCGGCAGGACTTGGAGGGGAAGACTGGTCACTGAGGCAGGGATAGTTTGTGCTCGTTTTTTGTGAATTCTGCAAGGCAAAGCCGGAACGGGATGGGTGATTCTTGCGGGTCAAGTAGCAGGAAGCTCTCTGGACAGTGATTATGATGGCAAGCTTAAGTTACAGCAGAATGGCCAGCACACTCTAGGACCTCCAAGCCTTGGTTCTTCCCAACCTGTGCCTAATACTCTCCAAAATTGCATAAGCAGGTTGTGTCACTCTGGGAAAGAGAGTGTGCATTCCATTCTAGACAAAGGCAGATTACCATGTGTAAATGTCATGAATATGTGGTTGTCTTTTGTCTGTCTGGTTAGGGAACTGTTTGCCATGGTAATAGATTTTCATGCATGTCAGACACCCGGCTGACCCAGCACAAAATTCTAATCGTGACATATTCACCATCCAGGTGAAACCTGTGGGAGGGGAGGAGGCTCCTTTCAGAGAGGGATGGAAGGAGAGTTACACTCTTGTCTCAAAAGACTGGACGTGGACTAACTTGGGAATGGAGCCTGGGAAAGAAACCTTTCCATAAAATTTACAACAGGAAATGACCCCAGATAGTTTGGGAAAGTCTTGACTAAGGTTAGGAATGGTAAAAACATTGTAGGTGCACAGAATGTTCAATGTTTGTTCTTGGAAATATGTTTTTGTCTGAATAAATAAATAATAATTTGGTCACTCAAATCACGACTGTTTGGAACATTGCTGTGCGCCATTGGCTGCCGTGTCTTGCCCACAAAATATACAATCAATCCACTTTACAGTATATTCTGTGAAGCGCTTTGAGATGCCTCAAAGACATGATGAGACACTTTATCAAATGTAAGGATTATTATTGAAATCAGCTCTCTCTATTTCTCTGTGTCTCTGTCTCAGGTTGGGATGCACGTGAATGGGGCACCTCCTATGATGCAGCCACAGCCTATGCAAACTGCAGTCACTGGCCAGGGTCCAGGGCCAGTGCAAGGACCAGGAGGACCTGTGTCCGGACCTGTCGGCCCTGGAGGTAAGAAAACGTTTAAGGAATTGGGTCACAGGTGCCCCTCAGGCAGTGTTTGCTCTTTTTATTGCAGGGTTTAGCTTTAAGCCCCTGAAAGGTTTTTACAAGAGTTATTGCTGGAGAAGCAGTGGAAAAGTTTGCAAGGCAGCAATATCAATGGCAAGCAATGCAGCTTTAGCTGGTTAGACTCCAGTAGTTACCCCATCACACACTCTGGGGTCCTCAAGCCTTGGCTCTTGCCAATCTGCGCCTAATACTTTCTGGAATTGATACCCTTAAGCATGGTGATGGGTTTCTGCATGTGACAGACACCCGGCTGATCAGAAAACAAATTATCGCGAGTAAAAAAAAAAATGTATTTTCATTAAAGTCCGAATTCTCAAGTCTCGGGATGCACATCAAACACTGTCTTAATTTGAGCGTTCAATCCTTTTGCCCCATATCAGGACACGGAATCGCAATGTCTAGGTTGATGGTCCAGGGAATCTCAGTTTAACATCATATCTGAAGGACGGCATTGTCGGAGGTGCCATCCAGATATGACGTTAAACTGAGGTCCTGTCTGCCTGTTCAGGTGGAGGTTAAAGATCCCATGACTCTATTCAAAGACGAGGGAGTTTATCTCTCCCGGTGTCCTAGCCAACATATCCCCCAAATAAAAAAAAAGGCATTTGCTTCGTGACTGTTTGTGGAATATTGCTCCATGCAAATTGGTTGCCAGATTCATCTGCAAGCTAAGTCACTTCACTCCCAGCTCCCACCCCCAGGTCGGGTGCCCATCGAGCCAGCACTGGGTCCTGCCAATGTGAGAGGTCAAGGATTATTGTCTGTTCCTCAGTGTAGTACTGCAGTTCTCCCCTATTGCCACGAGGTGGTACCAAAGTCCTGTCAGAAACGGAGCATCATTTGTTACACAATTGGAATGTTCGAAAGCAATAACTTTTGGAAAACGCTATCTTTCTAAGAGGGATTTCTGAATAATCTGGTTAGTGCATTGCTGATGCTGATCCTCAGATACAGTCGGCCATCACATTATCCACTCACTCTGTTTCTGCGCAGATCTGAGAAATTGCAGGTTAAGGTAAAATTACTGCCCGGTTCCTAGCGCACAAAGGTCGGAGACGCGTTTTCAGCCTCACTCCCGCCCCCGCCCACCCTACCCTTCAACCCTCTTGATTCCAACCCCCATTTTCGGTGCAAACCCTTAACTGTCCAGCACCTTGGGACATCCTTCTGATGTGAAAGGCACTGTATAAATGTAATTTGTTGATGTTTTCAATGCCACTCAGCGTAACCGTGAGATTGAGCACTGGGTGCTTTTCTGAGATTTGGCTCAGGACAGAGTAGAGGGAGCTCTACCCTCCCCCCTCCACCCCCCGCACCCCCATCTAATGCCTGCTGTAGCCGACTGCGGATTTAATCCTGACATTGGGAGCAGCAAGTGGGAAATGTTCCGTTCTCAGTACCTTATGTACACTTCCTGAACTGGAATAGTGTGATTCCCATTGGCTACGCTCCCAAGTATACAAGTGCTCCATGAATTTGACTTTCTTTGGGATATCTTGGTCTATGTATCTTGGGTTTGATTCCCGCGAGGGGCGAAACTTTTGGCCATTTTCCTTACCCCACACACCCCTGTTTACCTAGCAGTAAATAGGAACCCAGTTGTTTAGTCGATTGGCGGGTCGCTTTCCGGGGGTAATAATCCCTCAAAAAAAAATTGGTCGCTCAATCCATGACTGTTTGTGGGATACTGCTGTGCGCAACTGGTTGCTGCGTTTCGCCCACAAAATATACAGTTAATCCACTTCACAATATATTCTGTGAAGCGCTTTGAGACCTCTCAACGATGTGATAAGGTGCTATATCAAATGCAAGGATTATTATTATTATCTTAATAGAGCTGTTTGTACCTTTCACAGGAGCCATGCAGCCTCCGATGGGCATCCCTTCCGCAGGCCCTGTGCCGATGGACAGAGGACAAGGTATGTCTTAGATTTGCCATGTCTTAGATTTCATAGGTGTTAGCAGTCAATGTAAAGAGACAGCTTCACTTTTTTTTCTTTACAGTTGTGACAGTTTCAAGTGTTCTGATCACTTGCTCCTCCAAAGAGGCTATAAATGCTACTTGACGTTTCGGAGAATCTTAGTTAATTTTGAACTGAACCCTTTGGAGCTGCAGCAAAAGGGATGCTGTCTCTTTAGCAATGTAGCATGATTGTTGCTGTAGTGGTGGTGATGCACTTCTAGATGTGTTTGAGTTGTACATGACCTTAGTGACGGTCTGTTCTAGGTGTGTGGCATGAACATTTCTGCGCTGTTTCCCCGTGTTCTCTCTCTTCCCCCCCCCCACCCCTCCTTTTCCACTTCATTTTGAGTTCAGGAAAACCGTTTTACTCCAATCATTTTTTTTTCTTTTGAGTCTTTGAAACAGTGCTCAAGAGAGTTAGTCACGTGAGCAATTATTGGTGAAAGCCAACTCGGGGTGGAAAACAATTATTCAAGATAATTGGCAAAAGAACCAGAGGGGAGTTTTTTTTACATTTTTGTTACGATCTGGAATGCACTGCCTGCAAGTAGCTTTCAAAAGGGAATTGGATATGTTCTTGAAAAGGAAACATTTGCAAGGCTATTGGGCAAGAGTGGGGAATGGGACAAATTAGCTCTTTCAAAGAGCTGGCAGAGGCACGATGGGCTGAATAGCCTCTTTCTGTGCTGTAAGATTCTGTGTAACTTAACAAATCAATAACTTGAAATAAGCTTTGCCTGATCCAGGGACCATTTGTCTGACATTAATTGAAAACCTGAGATTGAAAGGTATGCTGAAGCCTAAGGAATAAATAGTGTTTTGTCTGGTTGGACTGATTGATCCCTAGAGGACTGAGTTACCAATGTTCCTGGCACACTGACTGTCCCAGTATTGTGCATTAGGAGCGCAAAGGTGACAGGCTTTGAATCAGGAGTTAACGTAGTCCAAACTAACATTCTAATATTTGTTAATACTGTACATTAAATAAAGTGAGATCTTCCAGATGAGATTTTGCACCACTCAAGTGGACATTAAAGATCTCGCTGCTCTATTTGAGAAGAGGCTATAGAGTTTTTCACCTGATGTCCTGGCCAACAATCCTCATGATAAAATTCATTTCACGGCCGCTTGTGGGATATTGCTTTATGCAAAATTGGCTGTTGCAGTTGCTTAAAAAATACAGTCAGTACAGTATACACTTTACAGTAAAAATCCTGTGAAGCATTTTGAGACTTGATAATGTGGTACGGTGCTATATCATATGCAAGTGTTAATTATTATTATTAATAATAATATTAATTGCATTGTTGCGTTGTGCTAATGTGTTAGATCAGATTGGCGTGCTAGTGGAAACGTTATAGATTGGCTTCAGTCTTCCCTGAAATTGCGCTGGCAGTTTCTTTTTGTCTGTGTTAAATTAGGAACATATTCCAACCAAATAATTGAAAATAGTGATAGCTGTTTGGTACAGAAATTGGCAGCGAATAGAGTATTATCTACATTTTCCCAGTTAAAGTGAAAACGCTCTAACTTGCAGGAAAAATTCGGAAAGAGAAGGGAGTTAGTTTCTCCTGATGTCTTGGCCAACAATCGTCCAGATTCACTTCAAACCGTTTTGTGACTTTTGGTATCTTCATTTTACACCATTGACCACTTTATTTTCTCTCAGTTTTCCATTAGTTTATTTTAGGACAGGATTAATCATAAAGCATCTAAAATTCCTTTATTCATCGAATTTTGTGTTGGACCTATTGTGTTGTGTTACTGATTTGTCTTTGATGAAACCAGTGGTGAACCGCCTCATCTTTGACCTATTTCACTGCTCCCTTTCCTATTAACCCTGTTTATTACTGTGACCCCCTTCTTGAAACACTCTGATACACTGACCTTCTGTACAACATTAATCTAATTTGTCAAGTCAGTCAAATCTGGCTGTTAAGTGAAGTGCACCGTACAGCTATACACTCTGCATTGACTTTCATCGCTTCCCAAAGAGTGTTACAAAGAGGGGTTATTGCATGTGTTTCAGTTAGTTGTAATGAGGAGACCTGATTGTTGTGGAGGACAGGTTATCCATCGCACTGTTCTTTGTCTCGTGTTCTCACAGGGGCTATGCACTCACCTGTGACACCCGCAGGGACTGCACCGATCGAGAGAGGACAAGGTACCAGCTTGATTAAACTTTTAACCTCTGATCTGTGAGCTAACCTGCAATACAGAGGTGTAACCCTCAGCCACCAATAGGGGTCACTTTGACTGAGACTGGGCTCCTTTGGATAAAGTTAAACTCAAGCCTAAAACTGATTGTCTGTTACAGGTTAGAGATCAGAGGTTAAGGAGTTGTTGAAAGTTCAAGGTCATATATTGTGTGTTGTATCAAAATGTGACTGATATCCATCCTGTGCAGGGGCTTTCAATGGGTATTATATTGGTTATAATCAGTGGCCAGTTTTTCAGCGGTTTGACTGATGGGAATGTGTGAGGAGTGAGTGATCTTGGTAAGTGATCTTGCTGGACACCTGGTTACCCTCCTCTACACCAGGAATTTCCAGGAGCTTCGCAGGTTATAAAAACCTGTTGACTATTTGATTGTTGGTGCAGGGGTCTAAAGGTGCTGGCTGAGCTCATTCATGTGGGCCATCCTTCACTTGTGCGTCTGTAAACTGAGTGTCGGGAAGCTATAGGTCAACACGCCCATCGCAGCGGAGCCTGATCCTGGCTTGCCTCCGACCTCTGCACATGAACACGCCTCACTCAACAGGGAAGATTGGATAACTATCAGAAATGTACAGGGTATTCACAAAGTCCTGTTACCCCCATGTTTTTTTCCTTACAGTGCACTGTCATAACACCTGAAACATGTGGAAGACTGATGATAATTGCATTTAGAAGTACTTCATTGTATTCAGTACAAGTGTAGACGTTTTAAATACAATTGTATTTATACGTCCAGAGGATCGGTGTGTGTGAGTGAGTAAGTGAGTGAGCACCATCATTTTCATGGCAGATGATGATCTGTCACCATGTTTGGTACCACATCTTGTGTAACCTGATGGAGTGAGGAGGGAGTTACTGGGATCAGACATTGTGACTTGTCTGCAACAGAAAATAAAAATTCATTTGTGAACGCCCTGTAGAATCCAGGTTGATATTTCCTTTTCCCCTTCCCTTTAGAGTGCTAAACGTAGACACACTGCTGTCTAAACAAAGATCGGCTAAATGAACATAGGCTAAACGGCTCAGTTCCACCACACACAACGACCTTTGACAAGTGAACTATAGGTTGAGCTCTAAGATAATAATAGCTAGATAAGAGGAAGGTTTAGGCTGATGTGGGAAACTCGCCCTTGGTGAAAGCCAATGTGCCTTAAATAAATGAGTGGGTTCTTAAACCCAAAGGCTTTAATGCAAAATGTTAATCTTTACTTAATATCAACACAACACAAAACGGGATCGAAGTTCTTTTTTTCACACAATTTCCTTCCCTTCCCACTTTGTTTGACTCATTCCTTCTGCTGGCGAATAATTTTCTGGCCGTTCTTCATTGTCTTGCCCCCATGGTCATTATTCATGGAGCAGATTTGCTCCCAGAGGAATAGAAGGTGAGAGGAGAGATTGTCTGAAATGCTGTACACTGTCCAGCGCCTTGGGACGTCCTCCCGACATGAAAGGCGCTATACAAATGTAATCTTGTTGTTGTTTTCTGGGCACCATAGTGGGTTAGAAATGTGGTAGCTTTGTCCTGGCAAACAGGAACATATTGGAGATATTTATCTTTTACATACCCTCAGGTTTGTTTGTCGTGTCTGGCAGTAATAAAACAGTGAGTTACATATTTTTATGAGGGGTCTGTTGGGCTGTGTTTATTTCTAGTTGATTTCCTGCCTCAGAGATTTGTAAGACTATAAAGAACTCAAATTTGCGGATGACTAATGTAAGGCTATTTTGTTCTAATGTGACCTTTGCACCGTTTGGGTATGTGATGTAACTGTTGTACAGTATTGGATGGCATCTGGAATAATGTGTTGTTCTTTGATACAGTTTGTTGCTGGGACGTTATTGGCTAAGATCTGAATGGAGGATATGAGTTTTGGAGCTGATGGTTTATGAAAACATTGCGGCAACTTTTTGTGGATTGTCAGTTGTAAAATGGCAACTTTACTACTTGTTAAGCATCAGTGCTTGGTTCACATTCTGATTATTCTGAACATATTATCAATTTGTCTACACTTGTTTGCGTGCGGAGTGATTGTGGGTAGTCGATGTGCATTTGATCTGTGGCAAATGGTTGGCACATTGGGGAAACTGTGTGTTAACCAATCTCAGACGGAGTGCTACCTGAGAGGTGTAAGTCTAAAGGCTGGTTGTTGCATTACAAGCTACAATTCTCGATTTTATATTAAAAAAATGTCTCCTTCTTCCATTGTTCCGTAATCCTTAGAGAGCACCAGGCAGGCTGCTCCTCACTGTCCCAGGGTGTGCCAGGCAGCCTGAGATGCATAATACTTGAGCCGAAGAAATAATACTAATAATAATAATAATCCCTCCAAAAACAAAACAATAATAAATTGGTCATTTTCAATCCACGACTGTTTGTGGGACATTACTGTGCGCAATTGGCAATAATGGAGATGTTGACAGCAATTAATTCTGTATGGATTAGTCTACAATGTAGTGGAAAACTTTGGGAACCTTGGAACCAAAGATGCCCGATTCCTCCAACCATACTATACTTACTATATGTCATGTCTCAAATTACTCATATACTGCATCCCCAAATATTATTTTCCTAAAAGAAATCTTATCTAATTTGTATTTGAATGGATCGAAACTTTCTGTTATGATTTTCCGATATGGCAAGAGGGCAGGGCATTGGGTAATAAGATGTGGTAGTGCCATGGAATGGTCTATGCCAGAGCTGGTCAATCGACCTTCTCCTTTTATTAGATTTCTATTTAATCCTAGGTACCACCTTAATCTCTTTATTTCCCACGTTCAGTTCTGCTGGCTTGCTGTAAACGGATAATAATAATAATAATAATCCTTGCATTTGATATAGCGCTTTTAACGTCTTCTAGATGTCTCAAAGCGCTTCACAGAATATGCTGTAAAGTGAATGTACTGTATGTGGGCGAACACTGCAGCTAATTGCGCACAGCAGTGTCTCACAAACAATCATGGATTGAAAATGACCAATTTATTATTGTTTTGCTTTGGAGGAATTATTATTAGGCGTGTGGAGTAAGGAAACTTGCCCAAGATTTCGCCCCGCCTGGAATTGAACCCAGGTGTCTCGCTTGCAGGGCGAGTGCTCTTAACCACTGAGCTACAGGACTCCCAGTGGATCTTGAGATTCCTCAGTAATTTTAGCTGAAACCTACGATGGCAGTGAATGTGATTGTGTAACTGGCGCGATGGTGATGTGTGGTAAAGCCATTCTATACACACACACACACACACACACGCCGTGATGTCTCTTGCTCCACACATCCCCCTTCAGAACAGCAAACCAAACGTAGCAGAGGTCACTGGGAGCTTTCTGGCCAGCCACTGCTATATTTATTTTGCCGTGAATTTCAGTGAGGAATTTGCGTGCATCGACTGGCGGTAAAGTCGCACAGTGTGCAGAATCATGACATCACTCACCTTGTGTATCGTACCATTTTACATATGGTAGCCATTGTTTAGGAGGATTTGGGAAAACAGTTGATTTGTATGTGTATCCAGTGCATTGGGACGTTCCTCCCGATGTGAAAAGCGCTATACAAATGTAATTTGTTGGTTGTTATAATTTTATAATAATAATAATAATAATAATTATGGGTGGATAAAATGCCAAACCACCCATAATACACAAGAAAGTGCACTAACCTCTTGCTTGTGAGTTAGTTTGGAAGTTGTCATTGCCTGGTTTGTATATTTAGAGCTGTGTTTGTGGAGTAATCTGCACTCTCCGGAACTGAATGATATTGACTGTAAAACGGAATGGAATTTTGAAACCATGATCATTCCCCTTTGACTGGGCTACTTATAAACCCAGTTGACAGAAGATTACTCAAGGGCATCATTCAACTCACCCCGTGTGGCATGAAATTCTGCGCTGCTCAGATAAGGATTTTACAGGAAGGTTATAAATAGGCTCTACTGGACAGAGTTATGTACTGCCAGGACCATCCATTCAATTTCTTACTTCATAAATTTGGTCATTGACTTAATTCTTCTCCTGTATCCTTAAAGTTGATGGGATCCACCTGTGCCTTTCCTGCAAGGATTCTGTTTGCAGGGCTGAGGCTCCCTGATTTATGTGGGCTTCCAGCACAATGAATGTTTAAGTGCTCCAGGAGGGTTTCTGACTCGTGAAATATTGAAGAATAAATTCCCTCCTGCTGTCAAATCAACTGTGTATCAAGTCAGTAGTGAATGAACGCTGGCACATTGTTTTATCGATTTAAACCAAACTGCATTCTGTTCTGCCTCAATGTGTATTTGTGCAAGTGAAGTAAGTAGTATTGTAGTTTGATGCACTTATTGAGCCGGTTTCATCATGGCTAATTCAAATGCTTCCTGAGACCTGTGATTGTCTGTGCTGAGAGAGTCTGTGCTGTATTTCATGTAAAGACTAAAGCTTAGTTATGTGTGCTTCCTAACCCTGTCTCTGAAAAGCCCAAAGCATTGCTGTGTACATGTTTCAGATTCGGTGACCTCAACCACGTGTACAGAGCGATCAGAGTCTGCCAGGCAGGTGTTTTGCGAGTTAGCTCACACCCGATTTTAAAAGAGCAAAATACACGTGTGATTGTTTTTGTTATTGTACACTGTAAAATTGAGGAATGCACAAAGGCTGCACCGGGCAGAATACATTTGGTGACACCTGCATACGTGAAACTCTATGCGTTTCTGCATATCAGACACCTGGCTGACCAAAAACATGTAGGCTCGAGTCTTACTCAGTGCTGCTGATGGTTTTACAAGAAGGGCAATGAGAAATATTCCTATGTATAGGGCTGGCTATTCAGTAAACATGACCTATTTTGTAACCAGTGTGTGTGTGTGGTTCCATAAACTGATATAATGCGACGGTGCTCTGTTTGACGAGGTTGCAAAATCTCCTTAGCTGAGGGGAAGCCTTGCTGAAGGGGTGTATTTCACGCTAAGCCTTGCACAAACTCTGATTCGTGCCTTTGTTTCTCGACTCGAAAGTCGAGAAGAGAAACCCAAATGAGGGCAGGGCTTAGTGTGAAATACACCCCTTCAGCAGGGCTTCCCTTAACACCTCTTGAGTCTCCCCAGTTGCACCATACAAGTTATAGCTCATTCAATGCTCTATTGCCTGTCCCCTCGTCAAACTCTGCGTGCTCATCACCACAATCCTCCCCTGCCTCCCATCGGATCAGTTTCACGGACCTCACCCTCATCTTCCTTCATGCCTTAGCATCTTCCTCTCTCTTTGCCTCTACCACCACTTGTCTGCTCGCCCTCCCTTGGCAGACTTGGTCCAGTCTTTCCACTGTCACCAGTGGCCGAACTCACAGCTGCCACCCTCCCCCATCCTCTAGAAACTTCTTCCTCTACTCCTCCATTTTGTGCCTGTGTGTGTGTCTGTAAATCACGTCTTAAAATCTACCTCATCGACCCACTCTATGATGACCTTCCTTGCTCGGTCATTATTTCCTTGGAAGTGCTCCGAGATTTGTACCTACATAAAAAGCACTATTTCCATGCAAGTTGTTTGAGAGGGGAGTTTGACCCTGAGACCTGCTTGTGTACTCTGGTTCTGTTTTGGAGCAACACTCTCCTCTGCAGCTGGTGTAGGGAAAGGCATTGGAACTAATAACAGCAAAGGGTTTTGTCGGCGTTCTACTCTGCACACAGTAACGTGTAACTTAACGGTAACATAATGTTGCGCGAGTGAGTACTTGTTTAAAGAAAGATATAACTGTGCCTGAAACCATTCTTGCCCTGTAGCAAGGAATCTTCATGTTATTATTGTACCCTCTCCTATGCAGTGCTGACACATGGAGTGTGAACAAGAGGTTTAGCCAGTATATACAGTAAAATTTGCATGTCTTATCTTCATAAATCGTATAATTGCCTAAGTCATACATGACCCATTCAGTTTCCTATCAAAACCAGATTTCTTTGCACCAGTTGTATTCATCGCCTAACTTGTAATGCCGTGCCCCTTCCCCCCCCCGCCCACCACCCCCGCAATACCACCCTCCACTACTCCCATTTTTACCAGCTGCATTGATTTGCGAGAAAATGCCGTCCTGATCCATTGCCGCATACGCACTTAACGGCTGCATTGAATCGCGGTAAACGGAGTCTTGATCCGTCAGCGCATGTGCAGAAGAACTTCATTTCCTAGGATTCGATGTGATTGCAAGTGCGCGTGTGGCGATGGATCAAGATGCATTGAATCACGGTAAACGTAGTCTTGACCTGCTGCTGCACGCGCACTTACCGGCTGCATCGAATTACGCATGTACAGTGCAGATTATTGATTCAATTGGATTGCCTGCAACTCATAATTCACATGAATCATATTAAATGTTATGGTCCTGACTTATACGACTTATGTGAGTTTTACTGTGTTACTCAGCTGATACTGAGCGAGGGATTGAGTGGCACAGATCATCTCTCTGACTGCTCCAAAATCCCTGCATTTGCTAACCTCGATTAAGCCACCACAGTATTCTGCAAGTAACTTCCTCGCTTCAGTACGTCACTGAATTGGCAATACGCCTTATTGTAGGGTCTCGGGCTCCGGCTACTGGGGAAAGAATCATTTTAGAGCGATTGTACAAAAAGTGCTCCATCTGCAGTTTGTGGCACTTTTGTCTGCGCACCGTGCACGGCTTAGACGCAATGCTTTTGTTTCTCTTTCAGTCCCCATGCAAGACCCCCGCGCCAACCTGCCCCGGGGTCCGCCTGGAGGTGCGGCTGCAGCTCCGAGAGGCCTCCTGGGAGACGCCCCGAATGACCCACGTGGAGGGACTCTGCTCTCAGTCACTGGGGAGGTGGAGCCGAGGTAAGCACTGACCCACAAGGCACTCGCCACGCGTTTCCTTACGAATTTCTCCACAAGAAGAAATAAAAAGTGTAACCAGTGGTTCTTTGTGGTTACCAGCTGCATCCAGGGGAACGCTCACCCTCCCTATTTTCTTACCCTGTCCCTCCTTGTTGGGACGCAGAAAATTTAAACCAGTCGCCGTCCGTCAGCGCTTCCGGGCACGTGACTTCGTTGTCAATTCTAGGCATGGGAGTGGAAAGAGCTGACACCTGCACTGTATACTACACTGCTCGCGCTATTCTCACCACGCGCAGCCTAAACGAGCAGCCCAATTCATTCACTGACCGGGTTTTCCAGCTCTGAGGTGACAGAGTATCAGCATCCACTACCTTCCCACTTTATAAGCGAGACAGCGCTATATTGAAGGGTGTTATAATGGATGGATGCATGTTTGAGTCAGTGTCTTGAAGTTCTGGCTACGTGTAAGTTTCCACAGCCTCACACAGGAGGCCGAGGTGAACATCAAAGTGTCCAATTGGTCAATGGCTTCACTGGCACAGTTACTCTTTGAAATGTTTTGTTGAGGTAGAGAAAACTTTGCCCTGTAGCAGAGCCAGCCTGGTGCTGACCTGGGAGTCTTCCATTTTCCAGCAATACTCTCTTTCTGGAGTTGCAAAATTCACTGCATCATCAAGAACAATATTCGCTCAGTTGCCAGTTCATACCCTGTATGTTGTAGAATTGCTATTTTGTAGGAGTTGCCATTAATGCACACAACAGCTTGCCTGTTGTAGGTTAGCAAATGAGATGCCCTTTTTAAGCAACATTTCATTCAACCAAGTCTGTCTCAGGCTTTCATAAACACAGCATACTTATTGATAACCATCTGAGTTGGTTCAAAGCCCATGTTGGGACATTGAGCACATTGTCTCTCAGCTGATGCTTCAGTGCTGGGGAATTGTTGTGTCGCTGGAAGTGCCACCCTTCAGTTGAGATTAATAATAATACTTGCAATTGATATTATCATGTCGTTGAGACATCTCAAACCACTTCCCACAGTATATTTTAAAATGTAGTACCTGTATTTTGTTGGTAAAATGTTGAGCTGTCAAATGTTGGCAATAGCTGGGTCAGTGAATGTTGGTAATGTCTACCTGGTCAGGTGAACGATCAAGATCCCAAGGCACTAATCGGAAAAGAGTTTCTCCCTCTGTCCCGGCCAACAGAAAAATTACTCAAATTACTTCATGGCTGTTTGTGGGGCGTTGCTGTGGGCAAATTAGCTGCTGTGTTGGCCTACAAAAGCACATCACTGAACTTTACAATAAAATTCGGTGAGGCTTTGAGATATTTTGATTACGTGATAAGGCACTACATGAAGTACATTCCTGAACCAACTTATGAGTTCAGTGGAGTAAAGCCTGCTGTTAGCGATGGATCATTGAATGTTGGGAACTTCCAGCTGAATGCCTGTAATTCAGTTTAAGCATATTTTACTTACGTACAATATTATCCAAAATGCTTCTATATATTAGTAATTTATGCAATTTGCTGGTTCATTTTATTCCATAATACAATGTTAATGTGCTAGTTTGGGGATGGGGGGGAAAGAGAGGAGAACTATAAAACAATATTGTCAACCACTCCCTTCTCACATATAATAATAATAATCCTTGCATTTGATATAGCGCCTAATCATGTCTTTGAGATGCTTTAAAGCGCTTCACAGAATATACTGTAAAGGGAATTGACTGTATATTTTATGGGTGAAACACGGCAGCCAATTGCGCACAGCATTGTCTCACAAATAGTTGTGGATTCAGAGATCAAATTATTTATTTTTTTTGAAGGAATTATTACCCCCAGAAAAGCAATCCGCCAATCGACTGACCACCGGGTTCCTACTTAATGCTGGGTAAACAGAGGCGTGTGGAGTAAGGAAACTTGCCCAGCGTTTCGCCCTGTCAGGAATTGAACCTAGGTCTCTCGCTTGTGAGGCGAGTGCTCTAACCACTGAGCTACACTGAGCTCTAACCGCTGACTTCACGAGCAGTAAGAGAGTCCTGTAGCTCTTTCTGGTGCTAATGAAATGCTTTGTAACAGAGTTCTACTGTACTGGGTGTTTACAAAGTCCTGGTACCCCCCATGTTTCTTTTTTCTACATTGCACTGACCCAACACCTGAAATGTGGGAGAATGATGACATGTTTCAGAAGGTGTATTTGAAGTATTTGTATTCAGTGCAAGCGTTTAAAATTTTTTGGTTAGCCACTTTTTTGGAACCGTTCCTTAAAAATCACTGCGCAAATTTTCCATCGTCTTTCCGGGACTCAGAAGTTTGTGGACCCAGTTACTGACCACAGCACGTTCCGTGACGTTGCAGTTATGGGTGTCAAACTCAAATCAACAAAACAAAACTTAATTGTAAGGGAAAAACAAGGGGTGTAAATGACTTTATAAACAGCCTGTACATTTCACAAATGGACTTGATGGGCCCCTGGCTCTTTAACCTTTCAGTGTATAAATATTGACCATCTTCCTCTCTCTCTCTCTCTCTCTCTCTCGCTCGATCTCTCTCTCTCTCGTTTGGCTCTGCAGAGGCTATCTGGGCCCACCACACCAGGGGCCGCCCATGCACCTCGTACCTGCGCACGACGGCCGAGGACCGCCTCAGGACATGAGGAATGCCCTCGAGACGCGAGGATTGCAGCACGACCTGCGAGCGGGGCCAATGGGAGAGCAGCGAGGGCCCATTGGAGAACAGAGGGGGCCACTGGGGGGGCCAATGGGGGAGCCGCGGGGGCCAATGGGGGAGCCAAGAGGGCCCATGGGAGATCCAAGAGGGATGATGGGAGATCCTAGGGGCCCACTGGTGGATCAGAGAGGACCTCCTCATGAACCGAGAGGTAAATTAGCGCCTCGCGTTGAGAGCCAAGGAAAACGTCAGTCAAAGAGAGGAGTTAAGTGGCATCCACTTCTCGTCTTGCCTGTGGTTTGCTTGACCGAGTTTATTTGCGCGGAGGAAGATTTGCGTGCTTCCCCGCAAAACACTTGTTGGCAAATGTTCCTCATGCCTGCGTTAATAGGTCACCAGCAGTGTTCTGTTCGATACACTTCAGTTACCAAGTACAGATCCTGGCTTGTCAGACGTGCAGTTGAAGTTTATTGCTGACGGGTGTTTTAAGCGTGGGCTCTGTCAGAGGCTCAAATAGCGTGCTTGGAAAATCTGGGGTGGGGAGGGGAAATGTTTTTCTCTGGAACCTAAAGCCCTAGCTGAAATAAAACGGAAACCATAAATCTGCACTAATATCAAATAACACGCTGGAACTGCACAGCATGTCATTCAGCAAGTGAAACGGAAAAGATAGTTTTAACAATCGAGGTATGATCTGGTCATCCCTGAAACATTCATCTATTTCCCACTATAAGATGCTGATTAACCTGCTGTGTTTACCTAGTTGAGCGTTTACTAAAGCTCTATGGGACACTACCCTGCGTGAAGGGCGCTTTTTAAATTCAAGTTGTTGTTGAGATTCAGTAATATCCTAGTCTAAACGCAACTGCCAAGTGTAGGCTTGGAACCTAAGGGTTACCTCATTATTCTCTTTGTGCTATGGAGAGTTGCGTTCTGGTGTCGCAAGTTTCCATAGCCTTGCGACAGAGGAGGAAAACTGTAATGTTCTTGCTTGGGTACAGATGGGTTTGCTGGTGGCGGGAGGGTGAAGAGAGAATTCTTGCTGCTCAGCTTTACAAGGCTGCAGAGAAACGAGAGGCGCCGTGGGGAGCGTGCATCAAACAAACGTTTAAAATACAACATCAAGATGCAACGTTGCACCTGGCAGCTGGATCACTATTTCATGTGACCGGGTGCTGCAGAAACTGTCGGGGAAATGAATAGATCAGTAGGAGTGAAATCAATGGACCATTCGGTGCTGGTGTTCCAAATGCCGAGAGAATCAAAGTGTGGACGTACCTTGAGAACTTCAGATATTTTTGTGGTTAAAAGCAGAATGAAACCTGTTAAACTTAATATTCAGATTTATTTTTAAACTGAGCTGTGAATTTGTGATGTTTTCTAAACTGAACGGTTGGGAGTTTTCTCGCTTTGGTTTCTAAGCTCAATGCACCGTCCTGAATAACAACAATAAAGGTTGCATTTACACAGCGCCTTTCCCGTCAGGAGGACGACCCAAGGCGCTGGACAATCGAGGGTTTGGACCTGAGCAGGTATTCACTGTACTTGCGACAGAGAGCACGTGAATTGGCAATTTTATTTTTTTTGGAAAAGAAAATACTTTGCAGTGAGTTGAGTTACTTGGAAATTTTAAAAAGAGTTCCCACCGGCCCGCACCCTGACTAGCCTATGTTCCTAGCGAGCGTACCTCATTGTTGTGGCTAGCCAGGGTGTTCGTATAATTACCTTCACGTCCTAGCACCTTCTCCGCCCTCTCCATGTCTCTGCGACCGAGCCTTCAAATAATATGTCTCTAACCTCTGGCATTCCCTCTCTCTATCCCTCCATCTTACCATCTCTTTATCTGTCTTTGAATCCTGCCTAAAAACCTACCACTTTCACTGCACCTATGCCATCTCCCCCTTCCCCCTCTCCTCCTTGCTCGATGTCCACCCTTATCATTGGGAAGTAGTCTCACGTGTTATTCTACTTGTAGGGCACTATATAAAGGCAAGTTGTTGGTGGTGTCTTTAAGGAATCGATTCTACAAAACCAGTTTCCGGCTGTTCCTTTTACTGTGCGGGGATTTATGTAAAATATGGAAGGATATTTAACAAAGTTAAAACCTGAACTTCTTGACAGAGCAGTGGGAAGGTTGATGCATTGATTTCCTCACAGGGAATAAGGAGGTGTTCACCATTGTTCCCTGTGAGATTCGTGCTGTTTCTTAGCCTACTTTTTGGGTAGAACTGACTATCCAGTCGTGGCTGATGAAGGTCAAGGCTCCGAGAAAAGAAAGCAGCTTTTGCAGCTAAACAATGGTTAAGGAAATAATAACTGTACACGTTGAGGTTGAAAAGCTTTTTAATTTAATACAAAGAGCAGCATCCAAGCCTGTGAAGGTTGGCGCTGGGTTTTCAAGGACTATTTTCAAGCTTGGGTGCTGCTACATCAGCATTCGTGACTGAACAGGAATTGTGATTGCCTAGGAGATGTTGAGTGATGCTGCCTCACAATGCCAAGCTTTGTGAAGACTGCATAAAACTATTTCACATTATCTCGTGCCTGACTATGTGGAAAGCACTTGTTCAATTGGGTGGGGACAGAACAGGGTTGATGCTTCTGAAGCCTGTGTCTGTTTAGTAATAATAATCCTACATTTGATTATACTGTGTCTTATGTCATTGAGACGTCTCAAAGCGCTTCACAGAATATACTGTAAAGTGGATTCACTGTGCATTTTATTGGTGTAACGTGGCAGCCAATTGTGCACAGCAGCATCATCCAAACAGTCATGGAGTGAGTGACCAAATTTTATGTGAGGTATTATTACCCTGGAATGTGATCTTCCAATCAACTAACAACCGAGATCCTACTTACTGTTGTGAAAACAGAGGTGCGTGGAACAAAGCAAACATGCCTAAGGTTTCGCACCTTTAGCAAGCTGAACGTGATCCTATCTTTGAGGCATTTGGCTTGGCAGCCAGATTGATGCTTCTGAAGGTTGGTGCCTGTGTCTAGTTGCTGACATCAGTAACTGATGTCCCAATTGGTACCTCATGATGGAAGGGTGGGGGCATCATTCTGGTGTGGACGCGAACGATGAGTATTGCCAGGTTTGGACACCATCACAGCTGAACCTGATCCTATCATTGTGCAACATCCACGATGTTGCAGCCTTTGTCTGGAAAGTACAGGCTTAACAAAGCAAAAAACAAGGTTGAAACCATACCAGTGAAGGTTCTTGTTCTTGCTGAAGTAGAGGTTTGGTTCCATGGAACAGTCCCACACAAACACACACCCAGATAGTATTGGGGAAGGAAGATGCCTGGGTCCCACCACCTTCCTAACCCAGGATCAATTCTAACACCTCAACTTCTGGCTGGCAGAGATCAGATGTTTTTTTTCTTGGTCAGCCGGGGATCTGGTACATGTGGAAACCCACCACCATGCTTAAGAGTGTCCAAACCAAACTGAGAATTCCATGCATCCATATACACATTTTTTTTTAAACAACAAAAAATGTACTTTTATATTGTACACATGGAAATCCCAGAGATAGGTTGTTGGAATAGAATCTGCACTATCTCCCAGGAGGGACCCAAACAAACTCTTAACACTGTGTAGGCACCATCACTTAGACAGGCTGTGAAGTGGGAATGGGTTCCGTTAGTGCATTGGCATATCTTCTTGATGTTGGAGCAGAAGGAGCTTTACTGATCTAACTCCTCTGCCTGATTCAGGCTGCTATTCCAAAATGAGAAAGTGCTCTATTGGTGTCAGCCTGGCTCAGTTAGCAGCACTGTCGCACCTCGACCTGAAGGATATGGATTCAAGTCTCGTGTAGCTTATGTTCCAGTGCAATGTTGAGGGAGTTTCGCTTTGCTGGAGCTGCCTCCCTTCGGATGAGATGTTTATCCGAGGTCCCATCTGACTCTTCAGGTGAAAGTTAAAGATCTCATGGCATTCTTCAAAAAGAAGGGAATATCTCCTTTTATTGTGGCCAACATTCCTCCAGTTAAATTGGTTATACATCTGCTGGTTGTTTGTGAGACAATTTGCTTTGTACAAATTAACGCAAATATAATCACTACACTTTGCAGAAAAAATAATCTGAATCACCTCAGGTGTTTTGATGTTATATCAAATGCAGTAGTACGTATCAGCTGTAGTAGTTTTCCCAGCATCAAAGCTAAAGCTCTGACTTTCACGCACATAAAATACTCTAAAATAGAATGCTTGTTTGTGAATTGCATTCTGCATTGCTACCATTCTGTATTGCTATTTGTAGAATATAAATCATTCCTTGGGTGGCTCCACTTTATTTTGAAAGTTGTTTCAGTGACTGCAAAAGGTTTGATGTTTGCTTTTATAGACATTTCTTCTTAAAACACAAATCACTGATTAAACTCACTGTGATAAGCAAGGGTTACAGGGCAAATTATATGCCATTCATTCTGCCAGGGTTGGTTGATGCATTTGGTAATAAACGGTCTTTCAAGTCTCCTGTAAAAGCTTGACATATTAGATATGTTTTCCTTTCAAAACAGCCACACCTAAAAGTCATTAAACAAGATGAAAGGTCTTGCATTCATTCTAGTCTGTGGCTAAATACCTGATACCGAGCTTCATGATAACGCATGAGCCTGTGGATGATGGCCAGAGGGATTGCTGATTCCAGGTTTTCTGCATAGCAAATTGACGATTCAAACTTTGTGACATGTTATAGTAAGTAGATTTAATCATCCTCGGAGGAGCCACCCTCTTTTGTTCAAGATAATAATTCCAATAATGACGTTTGTAGCAGTCAAATAATCTTTCCTCCCTACCCTCAAGCAGCCTAATCATTTTATCTCCAATGTTTGTTTTCCATAACTGGTGGATTCTTGTTAGATTTCACCTCCTACTTGTGCTCGTTCTATGTTTCAGTTGTTGGCTACTTAGAGGAGACATGTCAAATTATCAGCAGTTGACCCTGGTAGCGCTGTGATCAATGGGTCAATAAAACTATTGGTGTGGTATTGTGTTGTCCTGTAGCTCAGTGGTTAGAGCACTCGCTTTGCCAGCGAGAGACCTGAGTTCAATTCCAGGCAGAGGGCGAAACCTTGGGCAAGTTTCCTTACTCCACACAGAGCCTAATAATAATCCCTCCAAAAAAACAAAACAATAATAAATTGGTCATTTTCAATCCATGACTGTTGTGGGACATTGCTGTGCGCAATTGGCTGCCGCGTTCGCCCTCAAATATACAATCAATTCACTTTACAGTGTGTTCTGTGAAGCGCTTTGGGACGTCCTTCCGACGTGAAAAGCGCTATATCAAATGCAAGGATTATTATTATTTCTGAAGGGTTAAGAAAGCAAACGTTGGATTGTGCAGCTCAAGAGATAATGTAGAAGACATGAGCGGTGATTTTAGAATGGTATCTGGGCTTGGTGAGACCACATTCAGAGTACTGTCTGTAACTTAGTCTCCATACCTCTAATAATGATAATGACAATAATCCATGCATTTGATATAGAGCCTTATCACACCTTCAAGAAATCACACACTTCAAAATATACTTTAAAGTGAATTGACTGTATATTTTGTGGGCGAAACGCAGCAGTGTCCCACAAAGAGTCGTGGATTTATTATTATTTTGTTTGAAGGAATTATTACTCTCGGAAAGGTGATCCGCCAATTGACTAACAACCTGGTTCCTACTTCCTGCTAGTCAAACAGAGGTGTGTGGAGTAAGGAAACTTGCCCAACGTTTTCGCCCTGCTGGGAATTGAACCCAGGTCTCTCGCTTGCGAGGCTAGTACTCTAACCACTGGGCTACAGGACTCCACCTAGCTATTCAGTTGCAGTGGAGGGCAAACTGATTAATTCTAATCTCGAGCCAGAGCTACGCAGAAAGATTGACCACTCCAGGATGGTTCCCGCTTGGGAAGGGAAGACTTACAGTTTCTGTGCTTACAGTTACAAAGTGTTTGAAAGATATTCTTCCATGTTTGCCTACACGATAGTCACTAGACTTTATGATAAATTCTGTGAAACGCTTTGAGATGGCATCCTGAAAGGTGATATTCAGCATCCACCTTATGTGAGGGTGGTATACAAATTCAAGTTGTTATATCAAATGCAAGGATTATTTATATTGAGTCAAAAACAAGAGATTTTAGCTTCAAAATAAGACAACAAAAGCAATTTTTTTTTAGTGAAAGGGTTCTTTGTATCTATATCAAGTTTCCAGGGTAAATGGTGGAACAAGGAGTTGTAAAGAATTTGAAAAAGGAACTAGACATATTCCAGTAAGTTAAAGGATTCAGGGTTATTAGATGATGAGATGGATGTAGCAAAATAATCTTTTGGTTAGTTGGATGGGGTCACCAATGGTTTACTGCTGCTTGAAAATGTTGTAATGTTGCTTAGTATTTTGAGTGATGATTTATGGGCAAAACACTTTGTTGGTATTGATGACATTTTAGATCACAGCCCATTTGGCAGTCCCTGCATCAACAACAGCAACAAAATTACATTTGTATAGCACCTTTCACGTCAGGAGGATGTCCCAAGGTACTGGAACATCAACATGATGTGAAAGTTGCAATACCCAATGCAAGAATTATTATTTTTATTTGCATTGAATGTACAGATATGCACACTCCCAGGTTTCTGCCTTCCATCATCATGTCTATGTAGGAGGCCTGACTGAGAGCAACAGAAGGGCTTGTTGGAATTAATTCAGTTGGTGAAAGGATTCCTGGCTGCCAGAAAGTCAGGGTCTCTGTGCATTAATTGGTCTCTGTGCATAGAGAACTCGGGATCCATTCAATCACCACCAGCTCCGTAAATTAGTACTGAGCATCACTGCTCCATCAAAAGGGCATCAGCTGAGCTAGATTCTGCCTGGGCTTGTATGACTTGGTGGGTTCATTATGTGGGTTGATATGATTTTTGTCAGTATTCACCAACTGATCAGAATTTTGCTTTTCCTAATTGGTGCTGAGGCAGTCGCATTGAACTATTCAGGGTAGTAATCTTGGCTGCTGAGTAATCACTCCAAAATAATACTAATTTGATCACTCAATCCACAAATGTTTGTTGGACGCTGCTGTGCGCAATTGGCTGCTGCGTTTCGCCCACAAAACACACAGTCACTACACTTTACAGTGCATCCTGTGAAGCGCTTTGAGATGTCTCGAAGACGTGATAAGGCGTTATATCAAATGTAAGGATTGTTGCTCTGTTGTTTTTACTTATAAGTGATGGCCACCTAGATCTTGGACTCCCACCAGTTTGTTTTGTTGATGCTTTGATGTGCTTTCTATTGGTGTGTGAAGCCATGATAATTGAGGATAGTATGTTCGATTGCTTAACCAGTCTAGAATCTATGTCATTCTTTGAAAGTTGCCTTTCGTTGTCACTCTGACTGGGTGAGCCTGTTGCTGGACTTTTTTTTAGCCCATGTTAGGCTCTTGATGGATTTTATGGAGTCCTGTAACTCAGTGGTTAGAGCACTCGCTTTGCAAGTGAGAGACCTGAATTCAGTTCCAGGCAGAGGGCGAAACCTTGGGCAAGTTTCCTTACTCCATACACCTAATAATAATCCCTCCAAAACCAAAAACAATAATAAATTGGTCATTTTCAATCTACGACTGTTTGTGGGACATTGCTGTGCGCAATTGGCTGCCGTGTTCGCCCACAAATATACAGTCAATTCACTTTACAGTGTGTTCTGTGAAGCGCTTTGGGACGTCCTCCCGACGTGAAAAGCGCTATATCAAATGCAAGGATTATTATTATTATTATTTACCTGTGAATACACAGTCATTGCACTTTACAGAAAAAAACTGAAATACTTTGAGATGTTTCAGGGTGAAACGTTAGGCAAGTTTCCTTACTCCACACGCCCCTGTTTACCTAGGAACCTGGTTGTTAGTCAATTGGCGGATCGCTTTTCTGCTTTCCCTTCAAAAAAAATAATTTGGTCACTCAATCCATGACTGGTGGTGGGACGCTGCTGTACACAATTGGCTGCCGCGGTTCCTCCACAAAATACATAGTCAATTCACTTTACAGTATATTCTGTGAAGCGCTTTGAGACTTCGCAAAGACGTGATAAGGCACTATATCAAATGCAAGGATTATTATTATATTATTATGTTTGGATGTGATAAAGTGCTTTATCAAATACAAATAATACTATTAAAGATACTGCTCCAGGCTTTTTTTTGACTCTTACCTGTATATGAGCCAGTGTCAGGGATGAGTGCAGAATGTAGGTTTGCAGTTTCTGGTCTCTGACGTGTTTTGAATTAGAAATAATAGAGTTGAAAATTCTATTTAAGGTGTTCACCAACGGGATAGTTCAGTGCAGAAACCAACCTAACTGACTGAGGTTTTTAAAGGGTTAATGTCCTAGCTCGGCTAAAGACCTTTCTTTTCAACTGTGCCTTTGGTCAACTTCTTCCCTCTCCCCTTGATTCGCCCTCAGGATCCGGTGTTGTTTCCTTGACTAGAACGTGGTTGAAGTATTTGTATTGTCAAACTACAAAGAAACTTTTGTGGAGCGATCAGTTTACCCAACTCATTGTGCAAATGAATGAATATTGACTCCACGCTTTCAGAGGCTGAACCATGTTGGGGTGTGGTAATTAGATTAGAGGTACTGGAGCACATCACCTACTAATACCTCAGCCATCAGCAATGAGTGGCACCAGGGAGATCTGAAGAAGGCGACTATGAACATTTCATTTTGTTCTTAATACAGGAGTCATGTTGAAATATAGCTGAGCAGCATTGTACAGGGTGTACACAAAGTCCTGTTGCTCACCATTTTTTTCCTCTACAGTGCACTGGCCAACAGCTGAAACATGTGGAAGAATAATGATAATGTATTTAGAAGTACTTGATTGTGTTCAGTACAAGTGTTTAACTGTATTGAGACGTCCAGAGGATCTGAGCGAGTGAGTGAGCGCCATCATTTTCATGGCAGATAATGATCTGTCGTCATGTTCAGTGCAACATCTTCTGTAATGATGGAGTGAGGAGGAAGTTACTGGAACCAGACATTGTTACACTCGACTCATCTGCAACAGAATATAAAAATTTATTGTAAGAAAAAATAAACTGGGGGTAACAGGTCTTTGTGAACGCCCTGTACAATGGTACTGGGGTGGGGGGGGGGGGGGGGAGTCTTGATGGTACAATGGGTATCTTTTCTTCCAGGCTTTTTTTTAGACAAGGCTTTGGACTCTTACCTGTATATGACCTGGGGTCAGGGGTGAGTGCAGAATGTAGGCTTGCAGTTCCTAGTCTCTGTGACATATTTGCTTCAGTTTTGAATTGGAAATATTGAAAGAGTTGAAAATCCTATTTGAGATATTCACCAACGGGATTTGCGTAAAGTGGTTCTGAGTTGTAGCCACAGATTTACCCATAGACTGGATGCCTATAAAATACACAATTACTACATTTTACAATAAATTCTGCTTTGAAACATCCTCCCAATGTGAACGCACTGTATCAAGTATAAGATTTATTATTATATGCGTTCGTCCCAGGAACTGTGTTCTAATGCACCCAGAGATAGGTGGAACGTCCATCGGTTACTGGCACGATTTGACTATTTGCAACTCAGAGTCACTGCAGAGCAACCCTGTTATAACATGATCATTGAGTTCAATATCTCATTGCATAAGAAAGCTCAAAAGTTATTGTGCAACTGGGTATGTGTTGCTGCTAACATTACTTCCTAAATGCCTTATAATTGGTTCTGCTTCAACTGGAAGCTTTGTAAAGGGAAGATGTCATTTGATTTGGAAAGCTGCCCATTCAAGTTCTTTTTCTAAATTGTTTTCAGGTTCCAGAGATCCGCGAGGCATCGACACCAGAGGGCCAGGGCCTGGCCCCGCCCAAGGTCCTGCCCCCAACCCACGAGGACCAATGGCAGGAGCGCTTCAAGGTCCCGGCCCCCACCCAATGGGGAATAGCGGGCCCCAGGGGCCCCAGCAACCTGTCCCACCTCGGCCGGTAAGCATCTCACTGCTCAATGAGCGACTGGGAGGGAGGTACCTCCTGCTCACAATGTATGTAATCGGAAGTGAATTGGAACGCCGTTATATATGTTGGAGGAAGTAAGGGTTTCTCATCCTGATCTCAAACAGGACATAAGATTGACCTATTACATGTGACGCTTTCCTCTCCCTCTAGCTCCCTGTACAGATGTGTCCTCGGCTGTACAATCTGCACTTGATCTGCAGGTCCTGTAACCAGCCCGCTGTCTTCACCTGACCAACAGGAACAGGCTGGACAAGTCTCTCCTTATTTTTTTTAACCGGATATAAAGGCCTCCTCTTGCTATCTCTCCACAGATATTGGAAAGATTTCCCTCGGGAGTCTTTACCTTCTCTGCTTTAACCATTTCAGGCTGCAGAGTTTTGCACAAAGTTCTTTCCAAAGTGTCTCCCATCTTCTTACTTGATGTCCCAACTGTACCAGCCCATAGTACTCAAAATACCTCCTCTTCAGGCACTGTTAAAGGGTTAGCGTCACATTGTTGGCTAGGTGTTTGGACAGACTTTGTTGTTCCTGTATATTCTGTCCTGTCCATTCTAGAGGAAGCTCCAGTGCAGAACTTTCCTGTTTTTTTTAAAAATATGCAGTATTCAGTTTTATTTTATTTGTGTCGCCTGTCTTCAAACTTATATTTGTCCGGGGAAGGGTGCTGACTTGTAAATAAGTCTACACAAAGAATGTGTCTCTTTACGAACACTTGTCTGGTGATTGTTGCACAAATGATTCTCGGGAGCACGAATCAAGGCTGGGTTTGAAGAAATGTCACGTTTTGGGGTATTGAATAATATAATATTTGGTGTTATTTGTGCTAATGAACCACATTATGTGCTGCTGTTTGCAGGGACCTGCTCACCCTGTGGCTGGAGGTCAGGCTGGCGGCTTCAGTCCTGCTCAGACTCAAGTGACCCCTCAGGACCATGAGAAGGTCAGTGCTAAAGCTGTGTGTGGGCAGGGAGGTGGGGTGAGAGAGAGAAGGTTTGCTGCCAGTTCATATTAGTACTTTAAGCTCACAGTCTGAGCTGATACTCTAATTCAGGCCTGGAGGTGTGCTGGGCTACTGGAGATGCTGCCCTTCGGATAAAGCATTAAACCGAGGCGCCATTTGCCTATTCAAATAAACATTAAAAATTCCATGGCATTTTTAAGAAGTGAAGGGAGTTTCGCCCAGTGCCCTGTACAATAATTCCTCAGATAAAATTCTTCATTCATTTTGTGAGTGTTCCTGGGGCAATGCATTATGTGGGTTGGGGGTGGGGGTGGTCTTAATTCCTGCTTTGATGGAAGCATTAGAGCAACCACAATGTCAGTGTTCAGTGGTTTTCTGTGTACAGATTGTTTCCCCATTGACCTGGCTTCTCGTTGTTTCAGGCTGCACTGATAATGCAGGTGCTCCAGCTGACCCCGGAGCAGATCGCCATGTTGCCCCCTGAGCAGCGGCAAAGCATCCTCATCCTGAAAGAACAGATTCAGAAATCAGCAGGAGCCCCCTGAGGTAATTTCTAACCCTATATTTGTCAGCCTCTCCCTCCAGGCGAGGGAGAGGCTGACAAATATAGGATTAGGAAGAGGATTGAATGCACTGGAGATGATTGAATGCTGTGCATCACATGAGCTGCTGGGACCTTGAAATGTCCGACTAAGGAAAGCAATCAGTCATTAAGGACAAGTGGAATTAGATGTGAAGGATTTCTCAAAGCACTTAACGCAGCTGCTGGTCACCCGAGATGTGGGAATGACCGAAAGCATAGTCAAAGGCAAGCCTTGAGATGAACTGAAAGTGGGGAAGGGTGGGGGAGTGAGTGAGTGAGTAGCCACCATCAATGTTAAGTGTTTTTCACGTTCAGTATTACTTTCATTCCCATTGTAACAAGTGAACGGTTTCTGCCAGTTGAGCGGTTCAACCTTAATTGAATGCCATTGATTGAATGTCTGAGTGGCCTGTTCCGATTCCTATTTGTCTCAGAAAAACTGCAGCTGCGAAGAACTGTCTGGCACAGGTCTTAGCAGATGTGCTCGCATTCTATTGGACTATTCAATTGAAGTGAGAACCTTGTGCATAAAAAATAGACAATGAAACCCCTCCATTACCCTTGGGATCTACTGTAAGTCTGTTTACACCTTGTGGAAATGCAGCTTCTTATTGAAATGTGAAGTGAGTCACATAAAGATAATTGCGACTAATTTAAAGTTGGCTTGATGTGTTCCATTTGAGTTTTTTCGGGGCGTGGGCAATAGTCTATTTAGTCATATTCTAAAAATAGTTGGCATTTCTTGTGATGAGGGAGAATTCTGTGAATTGTGACTATATATAATAATAATAATAATAATAATAATCCTTGCATTTGATTTAGCGCTTTTCACGTCGGGAGGACGTCCCAAAGCGCTTCACAGAACACACTGTAAAGTGAATTGACTGTATATTTGTGGGCGAACGCGGCAGCCAATTGCGCACAGCAATGTCCCACAAACAGTCGTGGATTGAAAATGACCAATTTATTATTGTTTTTGGTTTTAGAGGGACTATAATATTATTGAATATCTGCCCCGAGGGTAACAAAGGAGGCTTCCGTGCCAAAGGGTACGAGTGTAACAATGCCATCTCTGAAGGGATGAGGAAATGATTAAGTGTAAATAAATGGGGACAGTCTTAGCTAATTACAGGAATTGCTGTCCACAAAATTGACAAAATAAGTCCTCAGAGCTATGTGGTTTTCAGTTCTGATGGATTTGTGGGTCGTGGACCTGAAATGTTGACTCACTTTCCTTTCTCCATAGGTGTCTAACCTGCTGAGTGTTCCCAGCAACTTCTGTTTTTGTTTCATGAGTCTTACTATGCTGAGTGCAATGTTCATTTGGTCTTTGTCAAAGCAACAATGACCATCTTGTTTCCACCACACCTGGAGGAAGTTGTAGCTTGCCAGTACTACTGAAATGGAACATTAACAAAATTACATTTGTCTAGTGCTTTCACGTTGGGAGGATGGTTAGTCATATCAAGCCTGAGCCAGACAGATCCACAGTGCTTCAGGGTACTGCTGCGATCAGTGGGAGCAGAGATTCTTCCCACTTGACTCATATTTATCCTGCAAGCTAAGCTTTTATACCAGGTCCTAGCTGGACTAGCAACTAAAAGCTTGACAGAGAGCAACCTAAATGGAAAGCTGTGTGACTTTTAGCTGGTATAACACCAACAACACCCAAGTCCACATTCTGGAGTACTCGAACCTCACTAGGTGGAGGGCTAATTCATACTCCCTGAAATTAGTTAAAAGGTTTGTGTCCTTCAGGGGAAAATGTAAATTAATTCCACTTGCAGGGAAATTCCCACGTGTAGGTGGCATATATATATATTGAACTGTTCTTGTTTGGATCTTCTTGGGACATCGTTCTGATGTAAAAGCCACTATATAAATTTAAATTGTTGTTAAGCATATTGATGGATTTCCCCATTTATCGCCCAGATGATCAAAACTAATCAAAGCCCAATTATTCTATCCATTGCATCTCAAATTTTCACGTAAAGACTAGCGCATTGCACAGGAGTCTGAGTGAGTTGGATTGTTGGATGTGAGTGATGTGAGATTTCTGCAGTCCTTTGGCTACTTTGATAAGAGATTAGGCTGGATTCTGTTATGGCTACAAGTTATGTCAAAGGTGAAGGCAGAGAGGTAGAGTTGGGTGTCATCCACATACACGTGGAAGTTGACCCCATGTCTGTGGGTGTTGTCACCAGCATCATAGAGCTGTAGAAACTTACAGTGCTGAAGGAGGCCATTTGGCCCATCAAGTCCTCACAGGTTCTCAGATCAAGGTGTGTATTCAATCCCCCTGCCCCACCTTCTCCCCATACAACAACAACTTGCATTTATATAGTGCCCTTCACACAGGGAAGCATCCCAGGACATATCCCTTCAAGCCTCTTCTTCACCTACCTATCTACATTTCCAGCTGTGCTAGTTGTTCTTCATATGTTCTTAATATGACCAATAACAGTCTTTGAAGGTGACCGCTTGTTCTCAAAATGAGTCTTATCAAAAACTCACTCAGATCTACAATGATCCAGAATAGATTGAATGCATTTGCAATCCTGTCTATTCTGCATGAATTGGCATCTGCACTAACTTTGGATCATGTGGTTGATATATTTGCAACTGTGAGGTCATGCATGAAAGTATTTTAAAAATGTATTGGATATTTTGTATGCCATAGTTCAATGGACCTCCAAATGTGAATTGCTCTATTCAAAGAGCCGGCACAAACTCGATGGGCCGAACGGCCTCTTTTTATGCTGAACAATTCTATGATTCTATGTTCATCATAGAGAGGTTCCCCAGCATGTTTGGACTTCACAGAGATGAGTAGGGAAATGTGAGAGAGAGAGAGAGAATAAAGCACCTTCCAAGCTAGATCTGAATAGCCCAAACCCAACAGGAAATAATTTCAGTAAAAAAACAACAGCAGCAACAAAAAATGTAAGACAAAGCCTTTCTTTGTATGGTGTAATTACAGGCTGACTCACCTTGCATAGTGAAGTGCTCTTTCTCTGCTCACTGAGTTTCGTGCCTGTCATTACTTCAGCTGCACAGCTTTGAACCTGGACAAAGAAGCATTTGAGCCTCTGCCCTTTTGTCTCTTTCATGAAAGTTTATAGGTTTATAATCAAAGATAACTTGATCCCCGGCCAAATGCTCTTCCTCTGAGCTTTATGGCTGATAAGGTGCTCAGCTATTTTGGTGCCCTCCAAAGCTCCTATTATTAGTATTAGAATATTGGTGCTGACTGAACTTGCAGTTCACAATGCTGACCTTTATTAATAATAATAATTGCATTTGATCTAGCACCTTATATTATTGAGAAGCCTCAAAGCGCTTCATAGAAGATACTGTAGAGTGAATTCACTGTATATTTTGTGGGTGAAACGAGGCAGCCAATTTTCACATTGAGTGACCAAATTATTATTATTTTTATTTTTTTGAAGGATTATTACCCCCTGAAAGCCAATCGACTATTCTTGAAATATACAAATAACTATTTCAAATGTTTTGGGCTCTTGTTGCTCCGGGTCTGTTAGTGGGAACGTTATGCAATCTGTACAGAATGATTATTGGCATGTTTAACAAAATGGACATTGCATTCACCCCAAGTTGACTTTGGTTATTAATATTGGGAGAAGATTGAATTGGCAGAGGTGCGTCCTTTGATTAACACATTAAATAAGGGTCCTGTCTGGCTGGTTGGCCGGACATTAAATGCCCCACCTATTCAAAAGGTAACTGGAGTTCTGGTTGAGATCCTTGAACGGAATCTGACACCTCCCAGTTTCACAGCCCAGGGAGAAACAACCTGTAACACCCTGGCTTCACTCCGGGCTGTTCTTTGGCAATGCAGTTAACCTAATTCTGAAAAAGTTATAAAATTGAAGTTTAACTTGTAAAGTTAAAGTCTGTAGCCTAATTCTTGATAAGTTATGTTTCCGTTTGATAAATGTACTGTGGTTCTGGTTACAATTGAGAATTTGTTAGTGTGGGCACTTGTGCGTTCATCAGCACCAGGGTGGCCAATATAACACTGACCGCAGACAAGAAAAATGCAGTAATGTGTGAATAATACAGTGAATAATATCTGTCTAAGAGAGGTTTCAAGGCTGTAATCTCATCCCGAGCTTCCATTTTTATGGGCTGTGATGTCATTTGAATTGTACAATTGATCTCCTTCCTGTAATCTTGTAAGTGTCTGCCTGATTAGGTTACAGCCTTTAATTTACACCCAGCTATTCATTATTCTACATCTGATGAGAAATGCGATGTGGCCTATCCATTGCTCAGTGTTTAAACACCTGCTGAAGGTTGTGCTTAGATTGCAGTCTGTGGGAAGCCGTGGATGAGTGACAGCTGTTGATGCTAGTTTTTCAACCTCTCCATGCTGGGTTTGGTGGTTTACCTCCTAACCCCTCTCCCAACCTGTTCACTGTCTCCGCTCTGCTTCACGTCCCCCTCCTTACCCTCCCCACCATTAGTGGGCAGGCCTTCAGCCTCTCTACTCCCACCCTCTGGAACTCCATCCCAGGCCCTCCGCCTCACCTCCTCCCTTGCCTTCTTCAAGACCCGTCTCAAGACCCTCCTCCTTGACTGTGCCTTCGGTCACCCTCCTACCCCTACCCTCCCCGCCCTCCACTTTCCTGATCCCAACCGCCAGCTCGGGCGTGGATCCCTGACTGTCCGGCGCCTTGAGACATCCTCCTGATGTGAAAGATGCTATGGAAATGTAATGTGTTGTTATTGTTTACTGCTCACAATCAGTCTGACTGGCATGACTGGTCCCTTAGCCATTACTAACTGGAATCTTCCTCTGTAACTTTCCCTTTCAGATTGGCTGTGTCGTGGCTGCCTGCTTGTGGACATGGTTCCGACCTGGTTACCTGTTACTGTTACAGCCTGAAGGAGATGGAGGCCCTTAGTTCACAATCAGCAACTTCAACTTCGCAGAGTTTGAGATGAACCTAAAGGTTGCCGACCAGCAACAGGACAAACTCGTTCCCTAAGCGACAATTTACTTGTCAAACTATTTTCATTAGAAGTAAATTGTTGAATATTTTGTAAAGTGGGTGGTGGGAGAAGAGGGATAACTTGTAAACTTTTTAAATGGAGCCTTGGGTACATTTTTTGGGGGGGGAGGGTGAGAGAGGATTGTTTTAAGTAAATTGGACAGACACCACATTCAGAAGATGGTCGTGAACCCAGTGATGTGTCTATTCCCAACTTGGTTCATTTGAAAAATGGGATGCATCAAAATGGTTCCCTTACCTTCCCCTCTCCCTGAATCCTGAACATCGAAGATCTCTTGGACCCTTTTTCTACACGCCACAAGGTTTTCCAGGGCCGAGACTTTCATGGTTGTACTGATAGTCTGAACTGCTTTGTATACTGCCCCTCTCCCCCGCCCCCATCCCCGCCCTGCCCCACCCCGCCCCCACGATAAACTATGCCAACCTATGATGAGTATGTTTTCGTATTAAAGTTCAGTTGAGTTATGTTGAGACCGTGTTGGAGAAATGTGAATGTTCCTACATTTTATAATTAAAACAAATTGGGAAAAAAAGAACTCCCTATCGGTGTGGTCATTTATTCCCCCCCCCCCACTTAATTCTGATTTGCAGGATGTGGACTGACTTTTGCAGAACAAACTGATGCAAACATGTGCTTCGAGGTAGGAACTCACTGGGCTGATAAGATGCTCAGGTATCAGCTTGTTGGTGTGTCGTAAGCAGTGCCCTGAAGGACTGTTGGCCTTGCTGGCTCAGGAGCTGGACAACCGAGTCCGTCGGAGTGGGTTGACTCGATTCCGACATTGTGTTGCTGAGTGCCACATTATAGCTGACTCAGCTGCAAGGAAGCCCCACTTACCTACCCCCAAGGGGAATAATCACTTGCTGGTAATTTGATATCTGACAAGTGCAAGCTTGAGCTCTCACAAGGTGGAGAGCAGCTTTTTAATGAGCAACATAATAGCTCAGTGTGAAATGTGTGGGAACTGACATGACATCACCCTTATTTCAGCTGCAGGACAGAACCCATCACATAATTTTGCAGCCACGGTTGCACGTTTTACCTGTATACTTTCCAGTGAAAGTTTTCTTCTTGGAGAGTTCTGGTTTAAAGTATTGGTGGGGCTTTGTAAGTTGATGGGAGGGAAGAAGCTCCACCAAGGAATGAATCAAGAAAAAATGTTAAACCTTCCCGTAGCTTCCTGGTACAGACCTGCAGAGCTATTTAAATTCCTTCTTGGTGCTGAGTCTACAATGTAGAGCGCTTTGAAATGAAATTTGCATATGATACAATCTGGAATGCACTGACTGGAAGCAGATTCAATAATAACTTTCAAACAGGAAAAGGATGTACATTTGAAAAAGAATTGCAAAACTATGGGGAAAGAGTGGGGCAGTGGGACTAATTGGATAGCTCTCAAAGAGCTTGCAAAGGCACAATGGGCTGAATGGCCTCCCCTGCTGTAGGATTCGATGATTCAATGCACTTTGCCTTACAAGGTGATACCCATTATTTTTAGCTGCAGCTACGTATTTGTTTTAAACGCTCGAGACCCTCCCCTGCGTGGAGGGTGCTATATAAGTGCAAGTTGTTGTGTAGTTATCTTTAAGAGCTCCGAGACACTGCCCTGTGTGAAAGGCGCTATTTTATAACGAATAATAATTAAATGCAAGTCGTTATTGTTGGGTTTGTTTCCACGGCGTGGCGGATACTGACTTACATTTCCCAGGTGCTGGCTATTCTTCAGTCATCTGTTCATGTGTCCAGTCTTAACCTGTGAGTACAATGGCTCATTATGTGGAGGATTTACAGCAGAGCCTGTTTCTGTCTGCACCTAATTTCTACCCAGGCGAACTTTCCAGTTCGTAGTAATGTAGATTACATTAATTGATGATGGTAGTTGCCACACTGGCTGCTTTTATGATAGCCACTGAGCTCAGTGGCACATTTTACCTGTAAACCTTGTGCCATCCTGACTGAGATTGTCATATGCTCTGCCTCAATCCCTCTGTCAATTGCCTGTCTTCAAATCGCACCTGAAGACTTACCTGTAAACAATCGTGCCTTTGGTCACCTCCGCTCTCTCAGCTTGGCGTCGAGGGTGCTATGTAATTCCAAGTTCATGTTGTTGTGATCTACTAACCGAGCCCCAGATTATATCTGAGACCATCCTGAGAGAGCTTGGCTCAGTGGGGAACCTCTTTGAGTATTGTTCCATCTCACAATACTTTCGGTCGTGATGAGGGGACGTTAGGCAGGTTAAAGGAAGTGGTGGAGAGGGTCTGAACAGTGGAGATCCCGAGGAATGGCTGGGAGGAGGGGGCGGGGAAGGATCACCTTAGCATTGAGGCTGACCTTTGTTTTTTCCCTTTGAATATAAATTGTGAATGGTAACAGTGAGGAGGTTATGCTACAGAGTTTAAGGTAAATTCCAAGCTGTAAGTATCGTTATGAATAATGATCTGTTTTCTTATTACACTTTCTCCTATTTAAACTTTCTCTCCTTTGGCACAGCAACACCTCATTCAGAGTAATATACTGAGAAATACTACTGTGTTTTGACATTAATGGATTGATAAATGAATTCTATCTAAAGTAGGAATCAAACAAGCTGGGAGTTAACAACTGGTTAATGATCAATCCTGTTCTTATTGACCTTCAACTCTTGCTGACTATCCTTGGATTAATGAAACACATTTCTCTTTTCCAAGGTGATTGAAGCATAGAAATAAATAGTATCGCTTCGCCAATGTCAACCGCTCTGGGACCCTCCCTGCATGAGGGGCGTGATATAACAGCAAGTTATTGTAAATATATATTATATCTAATATATATTAGTTCCTGTTCTTAATATATTATTATTTGAGTGTCAGATGACTTAGTTGGTAGCACTCTTGTCTCTGAGAGAAGAGTGGTTTTATTACATCGAGGCTCGACTATGCAAACTCACTGCTTGTCGGCCTCCCCAACTCCGCCCTCCACAGGCTGCAGATCATCCAGAACTCTGCAGCCTGTGTCCTCTCCCGCACCAGGCTCCGTGACTCTTATCACCCGCATCCTCGTCCAACTCCACTGGCTTCCCATCACACAGAGGATGCAGTTCTAGTCCTTACCTTCAAAGCCCTCCATTATCTTGCTCCCCCCTACCTCTGTAACCCCCTACCATCCTGCTCGCTCCCTCCGTTCAGTGGGTTTTACCTGCTTCATGTCCCTTGCTTCGCTTGCCCCACTATTGCCGGGCAGGCCTTCTGCCACTCTGCCCCCACCCTCTGGAACTCCATCCCACAGTCCCTCCGCCTTGCTACCTTCAAGACCCATCTCAAGACCCTGCTCTTCGACCGTGCTTTCGATCTCCCTGCTTCCCCACCCTCCCCGACCCCCGCTTGGGTCCGTAACTCTGTTCAGCGCCTTGGGATGTCCTCCTGACGTGAAAGGCTCTGTACAAATTTAATTTTGTTTTTGTTGAGACAGAAGATTGTGGGTTCAAGCCACACATTGAGACTTTGAGCTCCTACAGCCTAGGCTTACACTCCATTTCAGTGCTGGAGGAATGCTGCAAGTTCTTGTTGTTCCCAAGAATAAACATCGTGAATACTTAACAGTATGAAACGGGGGGAAAAGGAAGATTTAAGGATCGTGACCAAAAGCTCGATCAGAGAGAGATGTTTTCAAGAGGGTTTTGAAGGTGGGAGAGTGAAGTGACTAGGTTTGGGAGAATCCAGAGGACTGGGGCTGTAGTGTCTGATTGCAACAGCAAATTGGACAAATTGACGATTACAATGTACAAAATAAGTTTCTACAATATATTTCAATAATGTTTCAAATGATATTTATGAATTTAGAAATGATATTTAAATATTCGACACAGATCATTTCCCCCCCAAAGTGGGTCAAATTATGCATTGCACGTTTCAATTTTCGAACATCAATGGAAGAGAAAAAGACATTCATAAACAATTTGAAGCGTCTGGAAAAAAATGTACATACAGTATACCTCAACAAAAATGGTCTCAATTTAAGAGATTCTGGACAATTAGATTTCTTATTGAGGTTGCCGAGGACAAATTGCATAGTGCCATCTATGAAGATACAAGGAAAAGTATCCCTTTATTATTATTGTAATATTTGATATACATTTGTAATATAGATTTGATATAGCACCTTATCATGACATTGAGACATCTCAAAGTGCTTCACAGGATATACTGTAAAGGGAATTGACTATATTTTGTTGGTGAAACACGGCAGCCAATTGCGCACAGTAGTGACCCACAAACAGTCGGAGGTTGAGTGGCCAAATTATTATGATTTTATTTGAAGGGGTTATGATTTATTATTTAAGTAGGTTGGAGGCAGCCAGGCTTGAGAAAGGGGCTTACTGCGTAGATGCGTTTGTGACTCTTCACAGCCTATGTAATGTGTTTGGACTCAGGAAAATAAGATGGGAAGGGAGATATTTGTTTTGGTCCCTCCCCAATTAACATTTCCTTGTTAAACAATGAACTGCTTCTCAGCTGCTATGTTAGTTAGTCACTCCTTGAGTATCTTAAGGTACTGATCTGATCACCCCCGAAATAGTTCTGCTTGACGAGCAATTCACAAAATCAAATCGTAACAATAAAATAATGATAATAATATTTGTAGTTGATAAGGCACCTTATCACATTGTAAAACACTTCAAAATGTACACTGTAAGTTGGTACGTGACTGCATGTATTTCTTGGGCAAATATTCATGACATTAAAATAATATTGCTTTTAAGATTCTTCTCAACATGATGGGAAACTCAATAAAAATCATGTGCCTATTAATGATATTCCAAGGTGTGCGATCAGCCTGTTTCCAGCTGTTTCCTTACTCCACACGCCTAATAATAACCCTCCAAAACAAAACGATAATAAATTGGTCATTTTCAATCCACGGCTGTTTGTGGGACGCTGCTGTGCGCAATTGGCTGCCGTGTTTCGCCCACAAATATACAGTCAATTCACTTTACAGCATATTCTGTGAAGCGTTTTGTGACGTCGAGAAGACGTGAAAAAGCGCTATAGCAAATACAAGGATTATTATTATCATTGTTATTGTCCAGCTAGGACCACCCTACTCTTCAGGGCTTTGGCTTGCAGGGTTAACGGGAGCTGAGTGGGAGGATTCCCTGCCCCCAATGACTGGCCTACCGTTCCAAGTCCTGCCGATGAGCCAGGCTAGGCTGTGCCGTCATCAGCAGTGCCCTGGAATACTGCGGACCTGCCTCGCTCCGGAACCGGACTAGAGACCGTCCCAGGTGGCTGGCTTGATTCTGACATTTCATTACCAAGCGTGTCACCTTGGAGTCAGTTCAGCTCCCTGCTTACCAAACCCCACCAAGGAGGATTTTTGTGCCGGTTACACTGTACCAGGGAAGGCAGAGGTACTACCTACAGAGCTAGACTCACATCTCCTACCAGGCCAAGACAACAACATTAGCAACATGACAATCCAAACACTTCTCCCCCGCCCCGCAAGATTTGGTAAGAAAATAAATTACAAATAAAAAAAACACTTTTAAAATAAACTTCAGTTAACCTTAGAGAAAAAATATATGTGCAGTGTGAGCGCAATGGTCAGGGGCTCTGCTGTGCGTCAAACTTCAATGCGCATGCTTCAGCATGAGACTGTCCCAACGTTGACCTGCAAAATATGGCAGTCATCTTGGCCATTGAGTAGAATCTGAATCCCAGCAGGGAAGTTCCTGAGATTCACTAGTTTTCCTCCTTCGCACAGCACTGCGCTGTATCCTGCTTTCTCCACATTCATCTTGTCGGCTAGAAGTTCTCCTTGTGGAAGTGGAAGTGGACTCCCAGTGGGTTGACCTCGGAGTACTTGCCGGAACATTGTTCTAAGGCTTTGGCCAGCGGTTTTGGCCCACACAGGAAGACTGCAATTTTCGACCTGCAAAAGTACAAATTCATAAGGTTTCAATTTGAACAACAGCTTTCATTTAAATATAAGGCCCTTCACATGGGGTGGCGGCTCAGAGAGCTGAACAATGGCACCGTTTGACTCTGAGAACGGGGAGAAAGCGGAGGTGACCATAGGCACAGTCGCAGAGGAAACTTTTCAGGTGCAAAGAGGGATGAGGATTAAGGCAGGGAGTTCCAGAGGTTTGGGGTATAGGGGCTGAAAGCACGACCGCCGATGGAGGAGCAGAGGGGACGAGGGACATGCAGAAGGCCTGAGCCTGTGGAGTGAATAGGGAACGTAGAGGAATCATAGAATTGTACAGCACAGAAGGAGAACATTCGGCCCATCGTGTCTGTACTAGCTCATTGAAAAGAGCTAATTCAGTCCCACTCCCCGCTCCTTCCCCATAGCCTTGCAAAATTGTCCTCCCCAAATAATTGTCTAGGAGTGGGTGTGAGCAGGTTGGAGAGGTCGGGAGGTGCCAGGGTAAAAAAGCGATTTGTAGATGATTGTGAGGATCTTGAAATCAATCTGTTCTGCGACAGGGAATCATCTGAGATTTTGTTCAGGAAAGTACTTCATTGAGGCCAGTACACTGAACTCATTTACTCAACAGCATGAAGCTGCACTGGGAAGACAACAGGGTTTGCATGGGGTCACGTGGCTTGCTTTCAGTCCTCTCTGGTATCTTACTTGGGATGGTTCTGTGCGATTGTCTGAAACTCGATGTCCCAGTTGGGCCTGCCATAGTGGGTCTTCTGTTTGAGGCCAGTCACTACATCTGTCTCTTTGTCAAAGTGTACCTTGATATGTGCAGCCTGTGAGAACAGAGAATCCACGTCAATAATAATAACAATCCCTGCATTTTTTTGCATGTTTGTGGAACACTGCTGTGCGCAACTTGCTGCTACGTTTCGCCCACAAAATACACAGTCACTCCATTTTACAGTATATCCTGTGAAGCGCTTTGAGACGGTTCAACTACATGATAACAAATTCAGGGATTATTATTATTATTAATTGGTATGGCACCGTATCAGTTCATTGGGACGGCTCAAAGAGCTTTAGAGAATATACTGTAAAATGGAGTGACTGAACATTTTGCGGGGAAAAAAATACCAGCCATGGAGTGAGTGGTCAATTTCATTTTGGGGATTGTTGGCCAGGACCCCAGGGCAGAGCAACTCCCTTCTCTTTTCGAATAGTGCCAAGAGATCTTTAATATCCACCTGAACAGGCAGACAGGGCCTTAGTTTAATGTCTCATCAAAGGATGGCACCCCAGCACTGCATTGGAGTATCAGCTTCGACTATATGATTCCAAGTGCTGATGTGGGGCTTGAACCTACAACCTTCTGACTCAGAAGTGAGAGTGCTACCACTGAGCCAGGCTGACACACAATAAACACCTCAATGCGGACATCTACCGAAACAACTAGCCATCACTGGAGTGGATTTGCTTGGACATGGTTTCTGGAGAGTATTAACTTGGTGTGTGCTCAAACATGGTATCTACCTAGTTACTGTCTGGTTAGTTTTAACTATGTGTGTTTTTGGATGTGGTACACGGTTATTATAATAATAGTAGTAATAATCCTAGCATTTGGTATAGTGTTTTTCATGTCTTCTAGACTTCTCAAAACGCTTCACAGGATATACTGTAAAGTGAATTGACTGTATATTTGTGGGCGAAACATGGCAGCCAATTGCGCACAGCAATGTCCCACAAACAGTCATGGATTGAGTGATCAAATTATTTATTTTCTTGAGGGATTATTATCAGGAGTGTGGAGTAAGAAAACTTGCCCAAGTTTTCGCCCCCTGCCGGGAATCGAACCTGTAGCTCAGTGGTTAGTGTCTGGACTAATTGTCTGGTTAGTGTTGACTAGTTACCTGGTTACTGTCCCAGCCGGTTAGGTACAGCTTATAACTCAAAAAGTCTTGTTTGCCCAGTTCCTCCATGTTGTTCTCCAGCGATCTCAGCAGGTCAGCAAACCACTCAAATGCCTGCGTCTCCCGACAGATCCAATACAAGTAAATCTATTAGAGAGACACACAGGGGAAGCATTACATTCTACCTAAGCAACAACAGTGTTACATTTATACAGCACCTTTCACGTCAGGACGTCCCAAAGCTCTGGTCAGTTAAGGATTTGCACCCGAGCTGGGGGTTGGAATCAAGAAGGGTGGAGGGTTGGGGGTGAGATGAGGGTGGCCGAAAGCATGATCAAAGAGGAAAGCCATGAGACGGGCCCCGAAAGAGTCAAGGAAGGGGCGAGACAGAACATTCAGAACTTCCTTGGTTTGAATGGCAATGCTCCGTGGTTTTGCATGGCTCCATTGGGTGGGAGTGAAGGAAGCGTCAGGGATATAACCACACCTGAAAGAGTTGTGCTCTGACTCCCAATTCCCCAATTCCCCACCCTCCACAAGTTCGTTGAGATAGTACATTCGCTGCTGAGAGTGAAGTTGAGCCGGGCAGAGTGAGAGGAGCCAGGCAGCAGTAACAGCCTCAACAAAGCGTAAAGCACTAACCTTCTTTGTGAGCAGCCCAGGGTCGGAATGCTGGTACTTGTACCAGATGGATTTGAGGATGGATGCGAAGGGAGTCACTCCGATCCCGGCTCCGACCAGGACACTGACCTCGTACTGGAAAACATCCTCACTGGCCGTACCAAAGGGACCGTCCACAAGGATCCTGGGAGGAACCGAAGAGAACCATTCATTGGTCAGTGTCCAGAATGCAACCTAACCAGATTCCTACTTACTGCGAGGTGAACAGAGGTGTGTGGAGTAAGGAAACTTGCCTAAGGTTTTGCCCTGCCTGGGAATCAAACCCAGGTCCTCTCGCTTGTGAGGCGAGCACGCTAACCACTAGACTACGGGACAGGTGAGGGAATTTGCCTCGTTTTCACTCTGACTCACTTGGGCTCCTTGTGTTTAACTCTCTGAGTCTTGCCGTCGCCGAAGGCCTCGAACAGGGCGTCTGTCCAGTCGCCAGCTGATCGGATGTGCACACTGAAGCAGTCCTCCTCTGGGGCTGAGGTCAGAGTAAAGGGGTGCCACTCTAGCCGCGAGATGGATGGGCAGTTGATGAAGATGTACTGTCCCACCTCCATTGTAAACCCCTTCTTCTGCAGCTGCAGCTCCAGCACCTTGGATGGATGAACCACAACCTGGATGAGGGAGGAGGAGAAAGGTCACATTGAGACAACACACACCAGCTGCCAACAATCCAATCCGCGCTACACCCTCCCAGCTCAACTACAGCACAAGATCAGATACACAGCAAAGCTCCTTCTACACTCTCCGTCCAGCACCCCCAGGTCAGTGTTAGATACATGGTAAAGCTACCTCTAAATTGTCCTATACAGCTCCCCAGATTCAGCTACAATGCTGGATAGTTGCAGAGGAAATCTATTTCTCAACTGACCTATCCAGCTGTGTCAGGTCAGCCACAGCACAGGTTAATTACAGAATAAAGCTCTCACACTGTCCCACCAATACAGAGTCATAGAAATGGCAGTACAGAGCTCGGGGGTGCTACACTGCGTGAAGGGCGCTATATAAATACAAGTTGTTGTGGTTACAGAAAGAGTCTGATCTGGGCTGTCTTATGACTAACTCCTCCTCTGGAGTTAACTCACTGTCATCCCAATTCCTTGTATTTTGTCCAGAACCTTTTGTGTTCCACTGGAATGAATGGGTCTTATCGAATGCAAGTGTTATATATATTTATATAACCTCCTGCTTTAACTGACCAGTGTTTAACATGTAATGAAAGCTGGCAGCATTCGCAGCACTGACACTGAGCCCATTGATTGTAAATAAACCTATTGCTTTCAAGAGTTGGATCAAGGCTCTGTGACTACACTTGGTTGGATTCCAGAGCACACGACACACAAAAACTTGGATACAACAAAGACCCATTCACAAAAACTCAGTGTTCCTTTGTGATGGAAAGCCGTGATATTTTGTTATTTTACGAGTTGTTGTGAGTTCAGGCACGAAGCCAGGCTGACTATGAATACCCGCTCGTGTGGTGTCTGGCTGCATTTCCACAACATTGTGATCTCTTTACCTTAGTGATGACAACCCTCTGGCAGGAACGGTACAATCTGATTGATCTTTCAAACACATAGAGTATCATCGGCCCGAGCACCCACTTCCAGGTCTGAGAACAAAGGAAAGTAGAGAACATTTATTATAGAGTCCCGTAACGTAATGGTTAGAGCACTTGCCTCGCAAGCGAGAGGATCCGGGTTTGATTCCTGCGTGTCACACGGTCTCAGTTACTTTCACATGCTTCGCACTGGCCGTGTTATTCAGCGCATTGGCATGAACAGAGGTGGAATGCTCTACACCATGGGAACGGTGATGGAAATCATTGCTCAAGTTTCTGACCTCCTCCCTACCACAGTGTGGCGAAGCAGGAGGTAAAATGCAGCCAATGTTCCCTCAGCCCCCAAAATTGGGAAGTGAGAAGGGAATTTCCCCGAGAGACCGAGTCTGGGTGCCCAACAGTGAAGCCCTTAACACCAGCTTCATTCAGCTATCGAGCCCAATGGTAGGAGCTAGGGGAAGGTGGAGAGACTTCAGAAGGGGAAAGTGTATATGTTAATAGACCAGTCAATAAATGTTAGTTTCTCACCATTGGGTCACCCCCCTCAAATACAGGTATCGGACACTCATTGATCTCCCCCCACTCCTCGGTTAAATTCTGACAGTGTGTGTACTTGTGCCTTTCCATGCTTTCATCAGTCTGGTGTCTGACAATTCGCCTGTAAGTAAAAGAGATGAATGTGTGAGTTCATTTAAAGGGTCGGTGAAGAGACGCAATTGGCTGCCGCGTTTCTCCCACAAAATATCCAGTCAATTCACTTTACAGTATATTCTGTGAAGCCCTTTGAGAACGTCTCGAAGACGTGATAAGGCGCTATATCAAATGCAAGGATTATTAGTATCTATATAGATAGGATATATAGATACGTAGGTCGGTGTCTGTGAGGAGAAACAATCAGGCAACTCAGGCTGCTATTTTAACCGTGCCTAAAATCACCCTCGCTTTCTCCCCAGCTCGGCATCAATCTACACCATTGTTAAGTCTCGCCATAATATGTGAAGGACGCTATATAAATGCAATCTGTTGTTGCTGTTGTTGTTGCTTGTGGGACTTTTTTTTTAGGGTTTATATAAAATAGTTGGTAATCTTGGTTTGGGGGAACCTCGGCCTCTTATACGTACCCGATCCCATGGATGACAAGTCCGGCAAAGAATATGACGAAAAGATGGTGGGTGAACCAGAAGACCTCAAAGTAGGACCTACGGATTGTGTCGGTGGAGGAGGTGATTATCAGGATGAGTGCGAGGGTGATTACAACACCAGACAGCCCCGCTACCGTGGTGAAGGCTACGTAGGTCGGTGTCTGTGAGGAGAAACAATCAGTTACTAATTAACACTTCACAAAACACTCCTGATATTTGACATTTCACCAGATAGACACCGGCAGTTTAAAGGGCACCTTTTTGGGGAGTGGGATGGGGTCAGCCGGGTGTCTGACATACGCGGAAACCCATCACCGTGCTTAAGAGTATCCAAACCAAACTGCGAATTTCATGCATCCCACCTACACATGGAAATCCCAGAGACAGATTGTTGGTATGGAATGCGCCCTCTCTCCCTGGAGGGACACATCCTGCTTACCTAACTCCGGAAAGTACTAGGCACAGGTTGGCAAGAGCTAAGGCTTGGGGACTCCAGAGTGTGTGTAGGGGTAACTGCTGGAGTCTAACCAGATAAAACCACATAGCTTGCCATTGATAGCACTGTCTGGCAAGCTTTCCCACTGCTTGTCCAGCTGGGACCATCATACCCATTAGAGCTTTGGCTTGCAAAGTTAACAGGAGCTGAGCGTGAGGATTCACTCAGCGTCTCACCAATGGCATCCCCTTTAAAAGTGGAGATCTAATCATCAGGGCTCTAATATAGTCTAATAGACACTATTGTCAGGTAGGTGCTAGCCTGGCTCAGTCAGTTGTACTCTCACAGAAACACCACAACAGGAGCTCACAGTCGAAGCGAATACTCCAATGCAGTGTTGGGGGTGTGTTTCATTGTTGGAGGTGCTGTCCTTTGGATGAGACGTTAAAGCAAGGTCTCATTTACCTGTTCAGGTGGATGTTAAAGATCCCATGGCACCATTTGAAAAGAGAAGGGAGTTTCTCTCTCCCGGTGTCCTGGCCAACAATCCCACAGATTGACTGCTGGATTCACCTACAAATCCACAGTCAGTTTACCTCTCAGTAAAATGCCGTGAAGAGCTTTGAGACGTCTTGACAACATGATTAGGCAAGGTCTGTAACTGTGATGATCTTTATATTTATTAAATTCTACTTGCCCAGAATATTTTTTATAATAGGTTTGAATGGTGAGTATCAATGTCCTACCTTCTCGAAGGTGAGGAAGCTGGTTGAATAAACGACACACATAGTTGAGTGAGGCAATCCTCAAAATGCCCTAAACTATTGGTGTTAATCCAGCCCCCTGTTGAGCTCATTTCCCTCAGGCTGTGTCTTCCATCAGTTATTGGTATATGCCACTAACTGGCTGTAAGCGGACTGATAATAATCTATTCTGCAGTTTTTAAATGAATTCTCTCAATTCCTGCGGAAACTATTTTTAATGATGTTACTGGTAAGGTGTGGAATGGGCAGGGTGCACTTTAACATTCCCTTATTGATGTTGTCTTCACTATTGAAATCCTATCCTATTCAGGACACAGTTCACAATGTTTCATGGGGGTTTCATGGGTGTGGATCAAACACAGAAATGCTGCCTATTCTGCTGACATTTAGTATTCGTGCAAATGTTCCATTCTCCTGGCGTTTCCTTGTCTCATTTAATCAGTTGAATCTGCCACTCAGTGCCAGTGGTGGCATTTACAGACGATATGCTTAGGGTGTCAGCCTGGCTCAATCGGTAGCGCTCTCGCCTCCAAGTCAGAGGGTTTGGGGGCTCAAGCCCCTGTTGGGAGACTTTAAACCGATGTCCCGTTACTAAGCTTTATTATATTACTCTGTGAACATGCAAGATCCAGGTTTTTGATTTCTGTTGAGTTTAATAAATACTGACCAAAGTGTCCTCAGAATAAAGAGATTCTTACCGTGTCATCCGATCGAATAGGATTCAGCCAAGTGCCATTGTTGCTCCCGATGTCTGAGAGCACAGCGTCCAGGGTCTTCTGTGTTGACTGTTGGCTGTCGTTAAACCATTCGAAGTTGAGCAAATGTGCCACAATGTGAATTGCTGCAGGAACAAGGCAACAGAACTTTAGACAGGACAAGTGAGACCAGAAATCAGACCTCTCTCTCTCCCTCCTGAGGTTAAAATATCCCCTCGTGGAGACGGGCTGAATAATAGTACTAATAATAATCCTTGCATTTGATACTGAGCCTTATCACATCGTTGAGATGTTTCAAAGCGCATCACAGAATATATTGTAAAATGGATTGACTGTATTTTGTAGGCGAAACACAGCAGGCAATTATGCACAGCAGTGTCCCACAAACAGTCATGGATTGAATAACCACTTTTTTTTAAGGATTATTACCCGCAGAAAGTGATCCGCCAATCAACTAACAGCCGGGTTCCTACTTACTGCTAGGGAAACAGGCGTGTGGTGTAAGGAAGCTTGCCTCAGGTTTCGCCCTGACCCACTGGGAATCAAACCCGGGTCCTCTCTCTTGCAAGGCAAGTGCTTTAACCACTACACTACGGGACTCCAGGTTGACACGAGCTCAACTGCATAAATGGAAGCTCATTAACTAACGCATCTACAGAACCAGATAAACTCTAGTCATAGGTAAAGATACTTTGCACGATTTATGGTCTTTCATTGATGATAGAATGGTGGAAGGGGAAAAAAGCCAGGGTTTATGTTTGGGAATCAGTGAGAATGCTTTATGAAGTTTTCATCCAGAACATTAAAAATATTAAATGAAGTGGAGAAACATCCATCTCAGACATGCCTATACATGATGAGGGTTCAGTGGGTGGAATGGCTTTGAAGGTGTGCATTTGTGAATCTGTGTAAGTGCATTTTTGTATGTTCCTGTGTAGATGTGTGTGTATATGTATGTGTCTGTTTGGATGTGTGTGTGTGTTTAGGTGTGTGTGTGTGTGTGTATATTGTGTGTAGATGTGTACTCCTGTGTGAGAAACAACTGCAGCCCCAACCCACACTGTAGTATGAGAGTGTATCCCTGGGAAACTTACCTGTGTGCAGAGCGATCATATAAGCTACCAACTTGTGGAAGCTAATGTTCTTGTCCAGCTGTGTCCTCAGACCGCATCTGCAACACTAACACAGAGCAGGAAGTCAAGACCTTGGTCAACGTCCCGAGCAAAGCAGACAGTGTCACTGCAATGGCAAAGGGACCAGTTTGTAGCTTCCAACCCAGATTTTGGGGATTGTTGGCCAGGACACTGGAAAAAACTCCCTTTTCATTGGAGTGCATTGGAGGGTCAACCTAGACTATGAGTTCTAATTTCCAACGTGGGGCTTGAACCCACAACCTTCTGACCCGGAGGCAAGAGTGATCACTTTCCTGAGTTTTCCTTCCTTGTCCTACTTATCATTCCTCCCACCCCCTTTTGCCCTCATTATGTTAGAAAATAAAATCAGCCAAATCTGTAAGGAAATAACGCTAATTCCTTTAACCAGATATCAGACTGTTTTATTATTATTCGTTCGTTATTCCCCAATATCCCGATGGGTCAGACCAAAGGCCGTACAATCAACAGATCTTACAATCAACAGAATAACACCACTATAGATATCTCGAGTTCAAGAGTTCAACACTGTGTCTTTCCAGCACACACGCTTGATTCTTCATGATTTCAGTCTTCTTGCTGACAGCTTTCAATCTTCCATCTGATATCCTCAGTCTTAGTGTTTCCAGATCTCAGTCTTCCATCTCCGTACCCTTGTCTCCGCAGCCCGGGATGGCCCCATCTCCCGTACCCTTGTCTCTGCGACCCGGGACGGCCCCATCTCCTGTATCCTTGTCTCCGCGACCCGAGATGGCCCCATCTACCTTATCCATGTCTCCACCACCCGGGACGGCACCGTACACAAAGTTAACGGAACTCTTATACCAATGTTCATCCAATCATGGTGCGGACATTAGATCAGCCGGTCGAAATCATGCTGGGTTCACGTGACCACCTCATGGGGTGTACGTGCCTCAGCCCACATACACATTGTCCTTAAGACCCCTGTTATCTGATCTAATTGTCTAAGATAGAGGATTGATCAGTTTAGGGCTGTATCTGGTGCTCATTATTTTGTGGTGTGGGATCATTGGTAATTCCTTTTAAGTGACTGGTTATTTCTTATCAGTATCCCGAGATGGTACCAAGGCCCTCTAGTTTAAGCAACTCGCTTATTAATTGCTATCCTTGAGGGTTGCCTTCTGTCGGTTGGCCCTGTCAAAATCTAGCGACTTATTGCTCAGTCGAGATCCTGTGTTGTCCTTGGACCGTTACCTCTGTGGGCTTGTTGTCATTTACTGATAAGAGGTGACCCCCTGCCCCTGTCTGTTATTCTTTCAAAAACAGAGAAAAACAGATGTGTCCTATCCCATGACTGCCAGTCCAGTTGTCCCCACACTTAACTTAAAAGTTAACCCGTTTGCAACATCTATTGTGATTCTAACATTATACAAAAAGTGTAAATTCTAACAATTACTATGTTCCTTGCTGTGCTGAGTGATGTTTCCCATTTCTTTTCACAGTAAAAAGGCATCAAAGCGCATTCCGTCAGTCATGCTTCCTGGTGACTTTGGAAAGAGTCCAGGTTCTATGTGTCTTCTTCTTTGGCAAGACAGCTATGCTTGGGATTGACTGATATAATAATCCTTGCATTTGATAGAGCCTTTATCACATTGTCGAGATGTCTCAAAGCGCTTCACAGAATATACTGTATGTTTTGTGGGTGAAATAAATTTTGTGAGAGATTGTGTGTTTATATAGTGATCAGGAGATTGTGTGTCTGTATAGTGATGAGGACTGGAAGCGCGGCTAATTTTCCCCTCCCTAACTCTAGGAACGTTGAAACCAATTATAGCTGCACCTGTCTCCTTTGGTGTGATCGGTTAACTGCACAGACTGGAATTCCAATCCTTCTGGTCTGACTGCCCTTGGACTCAGAAAGGGTTTAATCTGATCAAACAGCAACCAAGACAATCTGGGTCACCACAGGTCACCAATCTGGCTTTGGCAGCAAGATAATATTTCATCCCCACAACCTCTAAGTTCTTATGGCCTGTGCCTGTGAGCCATATTGAAGCTCCCTCCTCTGCAGGTTGGCTTTTAGATAATTCAGTGCTGTCATTTAAGAACTAGCTTGTTTTTTTCCTTCCTTCAAGGACCGACTCAAGTCCTTCCTTACAACTACGCCTACAATCATCCTCCACCCCCCCCACTCTCCACCCCTCTCGACTCCAACCCCCAGCTCGGATGCTGAGAGAGGACGAATAAGCACAGACACAGGAAAGGAGACAGAGAGGGAGAGAGGGAAGGAGTGAAGGGAGGGAGAGAGGGAGAAGACAATGGGCAAAAGGAAAGGGAACAAATGAGGAACAAAGTGAAGGAGTGAAATAAAGGGATTGTTCTTACCGAGCAGGACCCTCGGAGGAAGGAGAGCAGGTTACGGCAGACTGGCAGCAGGATCAACATACAGTTGAAGTTGAGGCAGGCCGCGGGGGCTCTAGCCCAGGCCAGGGCTGACTGTAAACACACAGAGAGGAGGTCAGAGCACATCGTTCATCACACAGGCCAACAACACCACAACGTACTGCATTTAGCAATGAGAATTTCAGTTATTGCTAGGAGTGTATGTAGTTCAGATATTATAATTATTGTCCACTTGCAGAGCATATGGGTATCATTGACTCATATCATTAAAGGAATTTTATAACCAGTAAGACTGTGTTGTCACACACGGAGACATTTATATCCAGTAAATCAGGTTATTATAATATAACATACACATAGTTACATTCAGTAGCACTGGGTATTATAATAATAATAATAATTCTTAGAACCTTATCACACAATTGAGACGCCTCAAAGCACTTCACAGAATATATTGTAAAGTGGATTGACAGTGTATTTTGTGGGCAAAATACGGCAGCCAATTGCGCACATCAGTGACCTACAAACAGTCGTGGATAGAGTGACCAAATTATTTTGCAAAAAAAAATTGGTGGCTTATTACCCCAGGAAAGTGATCTGCCAATCGACTAACAACTGGATTCCTACTTACTGCTGGGTAAACAGAGGCATGTGGAGTAAGGCAACTTGCCCAACATCTCGCCCCCTCAACACAGGGTATTGTTATATAACCTGCACAGGGAGTCACACTGTATTGTTATATAAGCTGCACAGGGAGTCACACTGTATGGTTATATACCCTGCAAGGGAGTCACACCCAATAATACAGGGCAGGGTTCACAATTATATCCTTTGCTGTTCGTTCAGTTGAGATTCTGGGGTGCTGTTGGCACACTTTGTGGTGATCCCTGAAGCATGATCGAAGGTTAAGAAAGGAACGAATGACATAATTGAGAAGTCATCGGTGTGAGATAGAGGAACACATTGGTTACTACGCCCATCACAACATTCTCGGAGGGCACGCTGATCTCAGCTTCTCATCTTTCCTATGAGTCAAATGATTACTGTGCGGATCATAATATCACAAAGCAAAAGCAGAAGTCGCTGGGAACACTCAGCCGGTCAGGCAGCATCTATGGAGAAAGGAAAGTGAGTCAACCTTTTGAATCCACGACCCTTCGTCAGAACCTGCGGCTGCCGTGATTTCCTTAATAAGCATCCAGAGTCATGCAAATAGGAGACAACAGGAAACCAGAAGTACATCACACTGACCTACAGGAACTCCATCCCGACACAATCGACCTCTACAACAGAGCTCCTGCAGTTACACTGGAATTTTATTGTGATTCCTTTGAAGAATCCCATTAAGGCATAACATGAAATAGACCCCAATGACAATCTCTTATTATCCTATTTAGTTGAAAAACAATCCTAAAACCCTTTTTTCCACCACCCATTACCTCCTCCGTGCGCCCCCTCAGGCCTCCTCAGTCTTCATATCCAATGCCAAGTGCGAGGAGGTCATGGATTTCTTTTCATCTAAAATTCACAACATCCGCCGGGCAGCCTCATCCACCTGCCTCTTGTCACCCACCACCAACCCCTCTCCCTCCCCCTCACTCTCCCGATCAGCTCCTACCACAACCCCCATCCTACATCTCTCTCTCCTCCCTCTCACCCACCATTACTCTATGAAACCCACCACCTGCTGCCTCGACCCCCTCCCCACCAATTTGCTGGTCACCCAGCTCCCCCTCCTCTGCCCACTACTGGCTGATGCCATCAAGCAATCCCTCTCCTCCGGATCAGTCCCTGCCCCCCTCAAAACTGCTGTCATCACCCCCTCCTCAAAAAACCCTCCCTAGATCCCTCAAACCCCAGCCACTACCACCGTATTTCAAACCTGCCCTTCCTCGCAACGGTCCTAGAACGCGTTGTTGCAAACCAACTTCGCGCACACCTCTCCTCCCACTCCCTCTTCGAACCCCTCCAGTCCGGTTTCCACCCACAGTACAGAGACTGCGCTTGTGAAAGTCACAAATGACATCCTCTCTGTCTGTGACCAGGGCTCCCTCTGCCTCCTTGTCCTCCTGGACCTCTCCGCCGCGTTCGACACAGTCGATCACACCATCCTCCTCCACCGCCTTTCCTCCGTCATCCACCTCAGTGGGACCGCACTCGCCTGGTTCGACTCCTACCTCACAAACCGCCAGCAGTACATCTGAACAAATGGCTTCTTCTCCTGCTCTCACCCGGTCACCTGTGGGGTATCCCAAGGATCCATCCTTGGCCCCCTCCTCTTTCTGATCGACATGCTCCCTCTTGGGGATGTCATCCGTAGACACGGGATACACTTCCACATGTATGCAGATGACACCCAACTCTATTTTTCTACCACCTTTGTGACCCCCAGTCCCCTGATGTTCTCTCAGCTGCCTGTCAGACCTCAGGGACTGGATGAGCGCAAATTTCCTTCAGCTGAACATTGACAAGACTTCCATACTCTTTGGCTCTCGTCAACATCAAAAATCTCACAGCTCTCATCAGCTCCACCTACCCAACCTCCCCCTAAAATTCTCCGAAACCGTACGCAACCTAGGCATAAGGTTCGACCCCCAATTATCCTTCCTCCCCCACATCCGGTCCCTCACCAGTACCACCTTCTACTACCACCGACACATCGCCCGTCTCTGCCAATACCTCGCTCCGAAAGTCGCTGAAACCCTGCTCCATCCCTTTGTCACCTCTTGGCTGGACTACTCAAAAGCCCTCCTCGTCAGCCTCCCCTCCACTACCATCCATAAAATCCAAATCATTCAAAACTCTGCCGCCCGCATTCTCACTCGCACCAAACTCCGCTCCCCGATTACCCCAGTCCTGGCCAGACTGCATTGGCTGCCTATCCCAGAGAGGATCGACTTCAAGATCCTCACCCTTGTCTTCAAATCCTCCACTCCTCTGCAGCCCTCTACCTCTCTGACCTCTACTCAAAACTGTGCCCGTTGCCTTTGTTCCACTGGGTCTGGTCTGCTCCTTGTCCCCGAGTCCTCCTCTCCTCCATCGGCGGCCATGCCTTCAACCACTATGCCCCGAAGTTCTGGAACTGCCTTCCTCTCTCCCTTTGCCTCGTCCCTTCTCTTCCTATTTTCAGGTCTCTGCTGAAGACCTTTCTTTTCGACGTCGCCTTTGGTCACCTTCCTCCCCCTCCCTGGGAACCGTTACTGTGAAGCGCTCTGAGACGCCGTCCAGTGTGGAGGGCGCTATATAAATCCAAGTTGTTGTTGTTGTTATGCATGCTTCATGTTCACTGTGCTGAAATCAACACTGTTGCACTGTATCTGACTTTATCCCAATCTGTCCTGCGGCCTCAATGCTGTCCAAACAGCTCATGTCCTGCCTCTGGGCAAGTTTCAAGTGTTTGACCCATGTTAGCTTCATTTCATGTTTGCTTTCAGCCACTACGGCCCGAATCCCTCCGCGTTGCCCCCACTTTCCCTTCTTTTAGGTAACGAGTGAAGACTTTCCGCTTCGACCATGATTAATGACACTTCCTCCCTCCCCTCGGCCAGGCATCAGGCTCCGTCATCGTGGAGTCCTGTAGCTCAGTGGTTAGAGCACTCGCTTTGCAAGCGAGAGATCTGAATTCAATTCCAGGCAGAGGGCGAAACCTTGGGCAAGTTTCCCTACTCCACACAGAGCCTAATAATAATAATAATCCTTGCATTTGATATAGCGCTTTTCATGTTGGGAGGACGTCCCAAAGCGCTTCACAGAACACACTGTAAAGTGAATTGACTGTATATTTGTGGGCAAACGCGGCAGCCAATTGCGCACAGCAATGTCCCACAAACAGTCGTAGATTGAAAATGACCAATTTATTATTGATTTTTTATTTTTTTTGGAGGGATTATTATTAGGCTCTGTGTGGAGTAAGGAAACTTGCCCAAGGTTTCGCCCTCTGCCTGGAATTGAACCCAGATGTTTCACTTGCAAAGCGAGTGCTCTAACAACTGAGCTACAGGACTCCACCTCATAATCCCTCCGAAACCAAATGCAAGGATTATTATTATTGTTAAGCACTGCGATACGCTGCCCTGCCTGAATGACGCTGTATAAATGTGAGTCATTCTTAGTGACATGCGACCACTGCTTCTGCTTTATCTCTCCAGCTCCCCCCTCTTTACCATCTCACTGGTGGTGTGCGCTACTGCTCCTCACCTGGGTTACCTCCCTCTCTTCGTGTCTCCCTGATGGCTGACAAACCGCTTACATTTTTAAAGGAAGTGTTTAAACAAAAATAAAGAAAATTAGTGGAATTCCTGGCATACACACAGAATGCATACCCGGAAATTCATACCTGCAAGGAATCCACATCAGAGTAACATCTGGAATGAATTGGGCATTTCACTGCTGCCTCGTTTGTACAGTTGGTTCACAGTGAATACCCTCTGCATTCCACTGTTTCCCAATGTAGCTGCGATCGGGCCATCAGCCTCTCTGCCTCCACCTCCTGGAACCCCAACCAACAGTCCCTTTGCCTCGCTCCTTGCCTCGGTTTCTTTAAGGTCGGTGTCAAGCCCCTCCTTTCAACTGTGCCTTTGGTCACCCTCCTACCCTTACCCTCCCCGCCCACTACACCTCCTGATCCCAGCCGCCAAGTCCTGACTGTCCAGCGCCTTGGGACGTCCTCCCAATGTGATAGGCGCTATACAAAATTTGTTGTTGTTTTACCCTTTGTTTACCTCTACTCCAGGTGAAGGGCAACCCCAGGCTCCTGTTCTCCACCACTAACCGGCTCCTCCATCCTCCCCGACACACCTTGAAGATTCTTTCCTCCAATTCTCACTGCGAGGAAATGCTGGACTTCCTCGAGTCTAAAATCAAGGGAATCCGCTCAGCTGCCACTGCCCTCCCAACTTCCAACCCCTCCCTACCACCCCCCACCCACACACTCCAACCGCTACCCATCCCTCCTTCCACACCTTTGAACCTGTCACCCCTCTGTCATCACTACCAAGCCCTCCATGAAGCTCACCAGCTGCTCCCTGGACCCCATCCCCATCCCTCTCCTTAAATCCACCTCCTTGCCCCACTATTCACCAACATCATCAACCTCTCCCTGTCATCTGACACTGTTCCTACCCCCTTCAAAACAGCTACTATCACCCCCATCTTGAAGAAACCTTCCCTTGACTCAACACAGCTATCCAGCTACCGGCCCATCTCTCACCTCCCTTTTCTATCTAAGGTCCTTGAGAGAGCCGTGCCTCCCAGCTTCGCTCTTTCTTTTCCTCCCACTCCCTCCATGAACCCCTCCAATCGGGTTTCCGTGCTGCCCGGGTCAAGGTCACAAACGACATCCTGACCATGTGTGACCAGGGCTTCCTTTGCCTCCTCATCCTCCTTGACCTCTCCACCCCCTTTGATATTGTGGACCACTCAATCCTCCTCCACCACCTCTCCTCCCACCTCAACCTTCAAGGTTCTGTCCTCCATCCTGCAGTCCCTTCGCCTCGCTTCCTCCCTTGTCTCCTTCAAGACCGGTCTCAAGAGCCTCCTCTTCGATCATGCCTTCAGTCGCCCTCCCACCTCTCTGCTTTCCCTCACCCCTACATCACCCCTCCCCCATGCTCGGGCCCCAACACCTGACTATCCAGCGCCTTGGGACGTCCTCCCGACGTGAAAGGCGCTCTATAAATGTAATTTTGTTGTTATTGTTCCCCATACCTATGTATATTGTCTATATACCCTACTCCACCACTGTGTATCCTGTACATTCTCCCTGCTATAGATCCCGTGTAATCTACAGCATCCCAATATATATCTCAAATATATTGTACTCCAGGGAACACTGAGCTTTTCTGTTTTTTAAAAGTGAGTTAGTTCTGGTACGCAACGAATCAATCTGTTTCTGTCAAAAAAAACTCCTCCAAAAGCTAACACAGTTGTCTCTACCCCTTCCACACACACATCATCCGCGACAGTTAGTCCCGTGCAGGGCTACACGTTAGGCAAATTTCCTTAGTCCACATGCCTCTGTTTACCAAGTAGTAAGTAAGAACCTGGTTGTTAGTCGATTGGTGGATCGCTTTTCTGGGGGTAATAACTCCGTTAAAAAAAAAATTTGGTCACTCAATCCACGACTGTGGGCAATTGGCTGGTGAGTTTTGCCCACAAACTATACACTTTACAGTATATTCTGTGAAGCGCTTTGAGACATCTCAAAGATGTGATAAGGGAAGGATCATTATTATTATAGGGTTAAACCAGTGTGTTTGTGTAGGTGAAACACGAAGCATTCTGTCTCCCTAAGAGACTCTGATTCCACACCACTCGCACTTCACACTAACCTGTGTAAAGTCCTCATGAACAGTTTCTCATAAACTCTGAGCGTGTTCTGATCGAAGACACAGAAACAATGAATAAAGAGAGTGCTTACCCCAATAATTTTTCTTGTGTAGTAATACTCTGGGCTGTATTCGTACTCCAGGTAGTAATAAACAAATAAGAAGATGTTGATTCCAAGCCAGGCTACCTGCAGGGATAAACATTATCAATCACTTTGTCTTTGGGAAATAAAAAGCAGCTCCAAGATCAAGAGAAAATGCTCAGCAAAAAATAGTCTTCATTATCCTTACAATAAAGAGAGCCGAGAACCCATGGTTAATAAGCCAGTTGCCCATGTTCGAAGACTTCAACAAGCGAGTGAACAGCTTTGGGAGATAATAAGCTTGTGATTTATACCTAGGCAGAGAGGGAGGAGTGCTGATTAAGAGGAGGAAGTTACAGGTGTATTTATTTTAACAAGTCTTTATCTTCCTTTTGTAGTTCCAGTATGTGCCAGAGGTGTGTCTCTGTACTTTGATTCATGGGTTAACTTGTCAGGCATTCCGCCTCTCTGAAAGGCTCTCAGTAACTTGTGCAAGATCATTTTGATACATTTTGTGCACTGTGCCGGTGTGTTATTAAAAATCCACGACTCAAACTCTGGGACAATGGGATCGTCCTCTCTCTCCACCACTGCTGCAGTGTTGCACGGCAGGAAAGTCCGCAAAGAGTCCCGGCAACAGGTGTCAGCTTGGCTCAGTCGGTGGTGCTCTCGCCACTGTGGCAGAAGCCTGCTGTCCTTCGGGTGAGACATTAATCTGAAGAGTCCCCTGGCACTATTCAAAAAGTGAAGGGAAATTGTCCCAGTGTCCTGGCCAGAAAACCTCCAGATAAAATGGGTCTTTCACATCATGGCTGTTTACAAAACCATCCAATTTAATGTTGTTTCAATTACTGTAAATTATCCCTTGGCTCCTTAAAGGTTTGTCTCTTCGACCGTGCCTTTGGTCAATTTTCCCACAACACCCTCCCTGCCCTCCACCCCTCTTGACTCTAACCCCCAGCTTGGGTGCAAACCCCTGACTGTTCAGTGCCTTGGGATGTCCTCCTGAAATGAAAGGCGCTATAGAAATGCAATTTGTTTTATCATGTCTTTCACATCGGAAGGATGTCCCAAAGCTTCTGACAATTGTGGCTGGGCACTGGAGCTGAGGGTGGAAGCTGAGGTGGGTGAGGAGGGGAAAGATGAAAGAGGAAAGGGAGGGAACCAGTTGGAGTGGACTGGGAATGGAATTCCAGGGATCGGTTGCAAAGTGGCTTAAAGCCCACCCGCCTATAGTGGAGCGGGTTAAGCAGGAGTACTATATGTTGGAGGTGCTGTCGTTTGGACGAGGCGTTAAACCGAGGTCCTGTCTGCCTGTCCAGGTGGATGTTAAAGATTCCATGGTGCTATTCAAAAAGAGAAGGGAGTTTCCCTCTCCTGGTGTCTTGGCCAACAAACCCTCAAATAAAATTAGTCGCTCACTCCTTGGCTGTTTGTGGGAAATTGCTGTGTGCAAGTTGGCTCCTGAGTTAGTCCATAAAATACACAATCATATCCCTTTATAGTATATTCTATAAAGCGCTTTGAGACATCTCGATGATTTGATAAGGTGCTATAACAAATGCAAGGATTATTATAACTAATGCGGTGGGTTTCAATTTGGCACAAATTCTTATCTCTAAGAGAAGAGCAATGTTATTATTGGTATTAATAACACCTTTTTTGCAATAAAATAAAGTTCCCCTATCGAGGGGAGGAACAGAGATGAGCCTAATCAAGCCTTTGAAATTGTTATCAGGAATGGGAACCATCGTTGGTGTTTCTCTTCCCTAGCCTGGGGAACTGAGCCCAATTCTAAAATAATAATAATAATAGTAATTATTGCAGGGCTGAAACCATCAGTGCTGCAGCAAGAGGAACTTAACCTGGGCCCTTCCCGATGTGTGTACGTCAGTTCTGCACCAACTGAGCCGTTGAGAGAAACAGATTAACTTCTCCAAGTTCTCTGTTCCTATTTTCTGTGAAAATGTAATCAATTTTTCCCATCCTAATGGGTCTTTGAACTCCCAGTGCTCCAATGTACTGCTGGGAGGGTCTGTGTGTGTTGGGGTGGTGGGTGGGTGGGGCTGCATTGTCAGAGCTGCTTTCTCTTGGTTGAGATACTAATCCATGGTAATAGGAACAGGAGTAGATTCCTTGAGCCCCTCAAGCCTCTTCCTTCATTCTATTAAATCATGGCTGATCTGTACCTCGACTCCATTTACCTGCCTTTGCCCCGTATCCTTTGATATCCTGACCTAACAAGTATCGATCCACCTCAGTCTTGAAAAGTTGAATGGATCCAATATCCACAGCCTTTTGGGGGAGAAAGTTCTAGATGTCCACTAGCCTTTGCGTGAAAAGCTGCCTCCTGATTTCACTCCTAAATGGCCGAGCTCTAATTTTAAGATGATGCCCCCTTGTTCTGGATTCCCCCACCAGAGGAAATAGTTTCTGTGAATCTACCCCATCGAATCCCGTTATCATTTTAAAAACCTCAATTAGATCAGCTTTCATACTTCCAAACTCGAGGGAATACTGACCAAGTTTATGGAACCCATTCTTGTAAATTAAGACCTTATAATCTTGCCTTTGGTCCAGGGCTTTTTATGTCAGGCAGATGTCCCAAATCCTTTGCTTTGCAAAGTTTTACTGTTAAGTGCAGTGACTGTATTTGTCAGTGAACGCAGCAGCCTAATTTACACATAGCATTGTCCACAAACAGCCATGAATCCTTTATTCCAAAGCGTTGGACAATAAAGGGTTTATACCCAAGATGCAGGCGGGAGTCAAGATGGGTGGAGGGCAAGGGGGATTGAGGTGCGAAGATGACCAAAGGCTCAGTCAAAGAGGAAGGTCTTGAGAATAACCTTGAAGGAGGCAAAGGAGGGGACAAGGTGGAGGGGCTCCTGGATGGAGTTCCAGATGGTGGGTGCAGAGAGGCTGAAGGCCTGACCTCCAAAGGTGAAGCAGGCAAGGCGGGGACGTAGAGCAGGTTGTAGGGTTGGTAGGTGCTCTGGGACACAGCCTGCTTGAAAGGCATTAAATAATTGCAAATTGTTGTTGTTCTTAGGAGGTCACAGAGGAAAGCAGAGCAAGACCGTGAAGGGTGAGGAACTTAACCTGAATGTGAGGAAGAATTAAACATTTGTGATTCCCCACCATCCCGTCCTTGCCAGGCTCCACTGGTTCCCAATTACCGAACAGATCGATTTCAAAGATCCTCTCACTCGTTTCAAATCCCTTCATGCCCTCGCACCTCCCTACCTATCCGATCTGCTTACACTCCACTCCACCACCCACTGCCTCTGTTCAGCAGAATCCAGCCTCCTGTTTATCCCATGTCCCCTCCACTCCACCATTGTTGGCCGTGACTTCAGCCACTATGCCCTGAAACTCCGGAACTCTCTCCCTCAATCCCTCTGCCTAGACCCCTCTCCCCACCTTCAAATCCCACGTAAAGACATTCCTCTCTAATCATGCTTATGGTCACCTCCCCACTTCCTCTCCCCCTGTCTTGGGGTCAGACACCACCACTGTCAAGCGCTCCAGGACGCTATCCTGCGTGAAGGGTGTTATATAAATGCAAATTATTGTTATGGTTCTTTCCCTGCTGAGACTGAGGTATCTTGCCCAGGAAAATTAATTTGCATCTTTACTCATGCACTGAGATGGCTTTACATTTATTAGAATTATTAGTCCCAGAAAAGCGATCTGCCAATCGACTAACAACCAGGTTTCTACTTACTGCTAGGTAAGCAGAGGTGTGTGGAGTAAGGAATCTTGCCCAACATTTCTCCATGCCCGGGAATTAAACCCAGATCTCTCGCTTGCAAGGCGAGTGTTCTAACCACTACGCTACAAGACTCCACAAAAATGGTGCTTTGGAAAACTACAAACTGAGAATAACAATCCTCGAGTGGTAAATCATTAAATTGTGCTAAACAGTTTTTTCTAGTATTTGTGAAATTGCAAAATTGTTGGGGATTTCCGTATAACAGGGTTAAAGCCTGGCTCAGTTGGTGGCACTTTAGCCTCTGGGTTAAGAGGGTTGTCTGGCCTTCTGACCCCTCTCCTGTCTGACGTCATCAACCTCTCCTTGTCCACTGATTCAGTTACCACCCCGCCTAAAAACAGCCGTCATCACCCCCACCTTGAAAAAACCTTCCCTGGACCCATCCCTCCTCTCCAACTACCACCTCATCTCTGACCTCCCATTCCTCTCCAAGGTCCTGGAATGAGTCATCGAGTCCCAGCTCCGCTCCTTTCTTTGAACCCCTCCAATCCGACTTCCGTGCTGCCCACAGCACGGAACCAGCTCTGGTCAAAGTCACTAATGACATTCTGAACACCTGTGATCAGGGCTCCCTCTGCCCCCTTGTCCTCTTTGACCTCTCTGCCGCCTTCGACACTGTCGACCACTCCATTCTCATACATTGCCTCTCCGCTTTACTCAATCTTCACGGACCTGCCCTTGCCTGGTTCGATCCCTATCTCTCTCACCGTCTCCACTTTCAATCTAGCCAAGGTTTGGGGATCTCAGAGTGCGTATTGGAGTACTGCTGGAATTTAAACCACACTGAGAGAGCCATTGAGAGCATTGTCTGGCCAGCTTCCCACTGCTTCTCCAATTTGAGTCACCCAAACCCATTAGGCTTTGGCTTAGAGAGTTAACAGGAGCCAAATAGGAACTATCCTTGCCTTTGGGCTGTCCCTTCAACAAGCCACTGTGTCATCAGCAGTGCCATGAAGCACTGCAGATCTGCCTGGCTCAGGAACCAGACTAGAGGGTTTTGCCTACAAGATACACAGTCACTTCCCTTTATATATTTTGTGAAATGCTTTGAGACGTCTCAATGTGATAAGTGGCTATATTAAATGCAAGGATTATTATTATTATTATTATTATTATTATTATTATTATTATAAAGCCCGTCATAGACAGCGGGCTTAATTCCAACATTTTGTTGCCAAGAATGTCACCTTGGAACTACAACAACAACAACAACAACAAGATTCCATTTATAAAGCGCCTTTCACGTCAGGAGGACGTCCCAAGGCGCTGCACAGTTGGGTCATGACCCGAGCAGGGGGGAAATGGTCAGGGTGAGGGAAGGGAGGGAGCAAGGAGGGGGGAAATGGTCAGGGTGAGGGGAGGGAAGGGAGGGAGCGAGGAGCGGGGAAATGGTCAGGGTGAGGGGAGGGAAGGGAGGGAGCGAGGAGGGGGAAGAGAGTCGAGAGGGGAGCTGAAGGCTCGGTCAAAGAGAAAGGTTTTGAGACCGGCCTTGAAGGAGGAAAGGGAGGA